AGTAAGATAGACTATTTGACTTACTAGACGCTTTAGAGCTAATAATATAATTATATTTAATACTAAAATATAAGAAGAAATAAGGGCATTATATTAATTAATAAACTTAACTAATTCTTTAGAACTAAGAAATAGAGATGTTTTTAGGAAAATAGTAGTAGAAAATATTAATAGAAGATATTATAATATTAAGAAATACTTTAAATTCTTAATAAATCTATATAGTACCTGCTAATTTATAACAGATCCGCTCGGCGAAACTTAATTAAGGGGCGTAACGGAGCTAAGGAATTGCACAAGGCATACTTCTTCGATTATTACCTACTAACTCCAAATTAGAAGGTGAATAGAGGGTATTAGGTCTTGGTCCCCACCCAGAGTATTTTGGCCATAATAAGTACGAGGCTCACGTTATCCCAATGCATATTCTTCCCTTAAGTTGCTTTCCCTTGTCATTGCTACATCTCTAGATGAAATGCCAACAGTTCTCATATCGCTTCCAATCGTCCTTATTGCCAATATTGCCGAGGAGGAGCTTTCCACTTTAACGGGAAAAGCGGAAAACCTCTTGAGCTTAAACCCAGATTAATGAGTATGTAGAGGCATTTCCAGGGATGAGGCCCTCTATATTTGGCTGCCCAGCGGGTGGGTCCTTGGGAGTTAGGAAAACAAAGTCGCTGTTTTGGGAATTGGTTTTCTTGCGGTCGGAAGTTAAGGCAAGGAAAATGCTAATGGACGCTGGTGTATGTGATAATAATAATCGCTTAATTTTCGTATTCTGACCCCCTAAAACAGCACCTTAACCTACCCCGATTCAGGGATTAAAACACTACTACCTTAACTAAGAAAGTAATTTTATTATTAAATTATATAAAAATAAATAATAAATTAGTATATTAAATAAAGTTTATTAAAATATTTTAAGAATATATTTATTAATATTTAAGCTTAATATATTATTTGTAACGGCAGGAACAGAGCAATGAAACGAGGCTCAAAGATTAATGATTTCTTATATCTTGAGAATTTAAAGCTAAGGAGGAGGAGTGAGGTGTGGCAGTGGATAAGTAGGTATGGCCAAGAGTACTGAAACGCCGAGCTTTGGAAACGAGCTTGGTTTGAACTATAGCTTGGAACCTTAGCTGAAACCAACCCCTTTAGTTAAAACCACGTCCGTATCAACCATGTGACACCAGCCGTCACATTATTAGTAAATTCGATTATATTTATTAAATATATATAAGTTATAAAAAGTAAATTTAATTCCGGTATTTAAATAATATATTAAATATTAAATTTAAAATATTAAAGTTAATTAATTCTATTATAGTTTTCTCTAATATAATTATTAATTTATTAGTAAAAATTATTTTTTATTTATTATAAATAGTTTTAAAGCTAATAAAATATATTATAAATTCTTTTTAATAATAAAGGCTAACCTTTTAATTAGTAAATAGTTATTAATTAAAATTAGATTATTATTTAATTATAAGAAATACTTTTTAAATATAATAAATTCTAAAAATAATAATATTTTCTTTAAATTAGAAATATTTCGAAATATATTATAATTAGAATTATTTAAAACCCTAAATAACTTAATTTCTTTATAAGAAATTCTAATAAGGTCTATTTTTAATATTTTAATAAAAAGATCTTTTTTATTATATTTAAGCTTTATATTATTATTTTTATATAATTATTTAATTAAAAATATTTTTAAGCTATTAAAAAGAATTTAAAATATTATATTAATATTAGTTATAATTATAATAAAGGAAATATTTTTAAATATAATAATAAAATTAGAAAATATATTTCTTTTATAATAAATAGTAAATAAATTAGTAGTTTATTTATTTGAGTTTTATAAAAAACTTATATATTTAAAAAGTATTATTAATTTATTAATTAAATAATTTAAAGATTTCTTTAATAATATAACTATTTAAAGAAATGTTATAAAATTAGTTTTATTTATTTAATAATATTTACTAGCCTAAAAATATATATTTATAACTTATTATTTTAAAATATTACTAAATAATTTAATAATACTATTACTAATATTATAGTAAATTAAAGTAAAATATATAATTATAAAAACCAATTTAAAATATTTCAAAAATATTAAATTAGTAATAATAAATTCTTAAATAATATTTAGGAAATATTAAGTTAATAAAAATAATAATTTCTAAATAGTATTTAGGAATTAGTTCTAATATTATAAGGTTATTTATTACCGAAATTGGAAATATTTTATATTATTATAATAATATAAAGTATTTATCTAAATATTATATATTTTTTATAATTAATATAATTAAAAAAAGTATTATTTATAATTCTTAATATAAGAAAATAAATATATTAAAATTAAATTAAATTATATAAGAAATATTTCTTGTTTATACTAATTAAAAAGCCTTATAAATACTATTATATTATAATTCTTTTAATTAATATTACTTTTATTTTTGAGAATATTTCTTAATTCTTATAATATATAAAAATAAATTAAAAATTTCCAGAATTATAAAGCCTTTAAAATTACTTTATAATTTTATATTTAAAAATCTTTAAAAATCTTTTTATAATATTTTATTATAATAATTAAAATTTTAGTTTCTTAAAAATATAAAAATTTAGTATTTTAAGTAAAAGCCTTATTTTAAAACTTTTATTTATTTATATATTTATAACTAATTTTAAATTTTAAATAATTTCTATTTAATTACTTTTCTTTTTTTCTTATTTATTTCTTTTATTATATAAACTTTTATAGCCTCGATTAATAACTATTATAATAAGCTATTATTACTAATAATAATATTTTCTAGATATTAAATTAAGAACTAGAAAGTGCTTTAGTTTAATAATAATTATTATTTTTAGGTTCTGGTTTTAAATTAAATATAATTATAAGCTTAAGAAACTAAATAAAAATTAATAAAAATAACTTTCTAGCTAATATTTAAATTAGCTTTCTAAAATATTAGCTTTATACTTTTCCTTTTATATCTTCTACTAGTATTTTCTTTTCCGGAAAAAGTAGTACTTTAAATATTAGAAGTATTAAGATATATTTAGATTAGCAAAACCTCAATTCGAGGTTTTCGATAGGGACTCAATTGGGTCTAGCGGATGTCTTGTCGAAAAATGGTTGTCGGGGTTGCAAAACCTCTCTAATCCCGGGCCAACTTCGGCAATGTAGCAGATGGAACTGTTCACGCCCGTTCGTCAATACGAGCGGTTTACCAATCGGGCGCTACGATTAGTCAATCGGCCTTCCGATTAATCAATCGTAGCTCCCATTGATTAATAGGAAATGGAATACGATTCGCAAGCCACAGTGGGTCCCGATTAATCAATCGAATGGCCGATTGATCAATCGGGTAATATTGAGGTCTCGGGAATAGCAAAAGCTTTACTATACATGCCTCCTACTACGTCTAGGCGCTCCTATAGCTACCCTAGCCCTTTTTGGTACCCTCCCCTCCACTTGATCACCTGATTCTCCTCCTTCTCTAGCTCCATTCTCACGTGCTCGCTCCTCAGCTACTCTCTTCTTTGCTCTCTCAGATGCTCTTCCAGCCTTCTGAACTGATGTAATTAAACCACGATTATTCTCCTTTTCTCATGAACAGTAGTCAAAATCTCAAAGGCATCGTTATAGCAAAGGGCATACCGGGCTGGAATAATCTCATCGCGGCGGGTATCGTGGTATTCCTTACGATATACCTGATTATCCTGAAGCTCGTATAATTGGGATTCGTGCTTAATATTAGCCTGGTAGCGCTTCTCTGCTTTTGTTCCACTAGGGAGTAAAGCATCAGGATTTTGCAACCACCATCTGATATCCATACGCTTCCTAGCAGTAAGAATTTTCCTACTACCGCCCTTAGCAAGCCTTTGATCCCACGCAGCTTCGTCTTCAGCGGACCAATTATCAGTAGGGTCTTCAGTAATAGGGGAGGGCAAAAACTGAGTGCCAGAGGAACGTGCTCCTGGTGCAGTAATATCAAAATATTGCTCTGCTCGGCCATAGACACGTTGACGAGGTGTACGTGGGGCTGGAGATGAACGAAGGGTTGAAAGAGACATATTGGAAATAAGGTAATTGATTGGGAGGTATATAGAATCAGTAATTGTGCTTGGAAAGTAGGTGCTTGTGCTGTGAACTATGTGCTGTGAACTGTGTCTAGGTAGTAAAAAGGGAGCAGAGGCCCTATACATATCTAGAAGCTCTGGAGAAGTGTCTTTACCCCTATTACATACTGAGAACTAAAGGGTTTCAGCCATTAGTCTTGAGGATATATTATTACATACTGAGAACTAAAGGGTTTCAGCCTCCTCAGCCCCGAAACCCCAATATTACCCGATTGATCAATCGGCCCCCTTATTGATCAATCGGGACCCACTGTGGCTTGCGAATCGTATTCCATTTCCTATTGATCAATGGGAGCTACGATTGATTAATCGGAAGGCCGATTGACCAATCGTAGCGCCCGATTGGTAAACCGCTCGTATTGACGAACGGGCGTGAACAGAACGTGTCTTCTGGTGCGTTTCGACAACGGGTTACTAACAACAACACAAATCACAAAATCACACATGACTGGCTCATTCGACCGTCTATGCTTGCTTGCTATTACCCCAGCATTGGTATGGTGGTATGACCAGCTAGCTAAATCCTCAGCCCGGATTGTTAATCTTCAACTCTGTGGCAATGGCTCCTCAGTCCACCACTCTGGCAGGCTGGGCCAAACGAGTGTTAGCAAGGCCTATTGCATATGAAAATGTACCAGCGGACGATATATTGCTGGCCCGGGTAGCGTGGGTATCTTGAGAATGCCACCCCTCGAGGCTCTGACTTATGATATCGCAGGCCATCTTCAACAGAGACACAGCCGGACGAGTATGGAAATGTTGAAACTACAAATAGCACTGAGCGACGTTCAATTAGCAACAATGGATTTGAAGATGCCGATAACATGGTGTCTACATTTTATGATGATCAGCCTACCGAGGAAGAGTGTAAAAGCCTTCGCCGAATTGCAGATCAGCTGCCGTGGGCGGTTTGGTATGGTTCACCTTGCCATGTTACCAACCTCAACTTCTGTCGGGATACTTGCTGATAAACGGATTCAGGATCGTAGCGTTAATTGAACTGGCCGAGAGAGCTGCATACTATGGGGTTTCCGGGCCCTTCCAAAATTACATCCAAAATACGTACAAGAGTCCTTCCGGCTTGCCGGGTGCCCTTGGACTAGGGCAGTCCGCTGCTACGAGGTTTACCAACTTCTTCCAGTTCTTCTGCTATGTTACACCTGTTTTTGGTTTGTGCTCATCACTTTTACTGAAATGTTCTAAATGAAGAGTATTAACATATTTAAATAGGCGCCATTGTGGCCGACTCGTACCTCGGCAAAGTCAAGACAATCATTTGCTTCTCTGTGGCCTATATGCTTGGCCTTCTCATACTTTTTGGAACGTCCCTGCCAATTGCTATCGAGAATGGCTATGCTTTTGGAGGCTTGATAACCGCTATGATATTAATAGGAATGTTCGTAATTGGTTGTTTTTGTCTACCATTATGCTGATATTGCACAGAGGCACTGGCGGTATCAAATCAAATGTCTCCCCACTCATCGCAGAACAGTACACAAGAACCAAACAAAGTATTCGGATCCTTAACTCAGGTGAGCGCGTCATCGTCGATCCAGCAATGACAATTGAGCGCATTTACACATACTTTTACATGTGTATTAATGTCGGATCATTGTCAAGCGCATTGACAACAGTCCTGGAGTTAAAAGTTGGCTTCTGGCTAGCATATTTGGTACCTGTATGCATTTTTGGTATCGGATTTACTGTCCTTGTGTCCGAGAGAAGGTCGTATATCGACAGGCCACCGAGTGGATCGGTGGTACTTCATGCTTTCAGAATTATTTGGATCGGGATATGGAGTGGGCACAAATTAGATGCCGCGAAGTCGAACTTTCAGAGAACTGAGCACAGGTTCACTGTTCCGTGGAGCGATGAGTTTGTGGAAGAAATCAAGGTAGCTCTTGCTTCCTGTAGAGTATTCTTGTTCTTTCCCATCTACTGGATGTGAGTTGCTATCTACTTATACCTACTTTCATTCCTTCTCTCAATAAAATTGGCCGAGTTTTGTTGGTTATGGCTGATCCCACAATATAGGGCATTTTCCCAAATGCTGAACAATTTTATCTCGCAAGCTGGCACGATGGGTAATGACTCCATTCCGAACAATACGAGTAGACTAAACTTACCATTCCTACTAGAACTCCACGGTATTCCAAACGATATACTAACAAACATCGATGCACTGACCATTATCGCATTCATCCCGATACTCAACACCTGTTTGTATCCCATTCTCCGGAGTAGCGGCATCCTTTTCCGCCCAATTGCAAGAATCACAGTGGGGTTTATTTTCGCCGGACTTGCAATGTTATATGCGGCCGGAGTGCAGCATCTCATTTATATTAGTGTAATTTGCGGGCACATGCCCCTCATCTGTTTCCAATTTACTAACATTGGCCTTCTAGCCACCTTGCTTCGCTTCTCCTCTCAACTGTGGCGCCTCTAACGGTGGTTCAATACCCAACAAGGTTCACGTCCTGATACAAACACCTGCTTACTTGTTGATTGGTTTCTCCGAAATCTTCGCATCTGTGCGTACCGCTTTCTGTTCGTCTAGTCGTAGTTCCGCTAACATGAGCTATCTTAGACTGCAGGCCTCGAATACGCATATACGCAAGCCCCTCCAAGCATGAAATCCTTCGTCATGTCGATGTTTCTCCTGACTTCTGCTGGCGGATCAATACTTGGTATACTGATCGCACCTTTGGCAAAGGATCCTTACCTAGTCTGGATGTATCTCGGCTTCACAACAATGTGCTTTGTTACTGGTGCCATATTCTGGCGTTTGTTCAAGGGCTACGATAGTCCGAAAGAGGAGAGGGTTCATTTGAGGAATTTAGATTAATGCTAGCACGTTTATTCTCATGTCTTAGCCAAGTTTCGATTCGTGTGATGTTTGTTGTAGGAATGGAGGTGCCGGTTTGAAGCGAAATATGTTGGCAGGACAATGTATACATAGGTTGGGTTAGAGGTTTGTGTCTTTTTCGGAGTGAAGAGCGGGAAGATTAGATTTCGACTTCCGACATACCTATTCAAGTTCCCAAACCGAGATCCTACTCATACTGTTTTACGAGTAACGCGAAAATCGAACCTCAGACTCCGACATGTCTCAATCCAGCCACCCAGACCCGTCAGTCGGCTTCGCTACTCCGATGTGATAGATGTCCGTAGTCCTGCCCAACTCGGTCCACACCACCCACTGCATAATGTGGACCCTGCATTCTCATTCCTCACCCTCTGACGAGAAAATCTACACAATACCGGAATCTGTCAGAGACCTGCATCAGAACGTCGCTAGAAATTGTGGTTGGCTCGTCGCAGTCACGAAATACATCTCCCCTGAAGACGCCTCTGCGACTTTCTTCACGAAAGCGAAGATTAGTGGAGTCGGAAACTTGGAGTTCGTGGATGCTTTCAGCTGTGGTATCAATTCCAAAAGGCTGAGAGTTTGAGATATATATTCCGCTGTCCAAGCACGAACAGAAAGTTTGACGTCTAGGTCTGTGCTGATCTCCTTTTGCTATCTTCACCCGCAGCCTTTCCTTTGCTCTTTGCTCTCTAGTTCAATCTCAATCCAACCATTTTACCTTCCCCCATTGACCTTGCAACAACATCGCAAATTGAGTGACTTTCACATTAGAAGTCGCCACAAGGAGCTGACGAAAGGATTATAATTAGTGATTATTTCTTGCATCTGGGATACAGAAGCTTCCGTGGCTTCCACTATTGGATGTCCAACGATTGCAGCGATCAGGTACAATTATAGTTCGATACAGGGCCGCTTGGAGCTAACGTCTGCCAAATTAGAGCATTAGAGCATTGAGGTTTGATAACCATGCACTCTTCCAGTACTACTCAGATCTCCCCGTGCTAGGATAATCTCGAGGCATCAACGTCCTCCCCTCTTCGCGGAATAACTGAATTACTGCCCTTTAACCCTGCATAAAAGTCAGTATTCAAATCTCCAAAAGTAAATCATCGACTTACCACCCCGGAAAGATCTCCACCCAAGCATTAATAGCAGCCACAAACGGAGTCGCGGTGTTGACGGTATTCGGTGCCGCCAACGCCAATCCTAACGTACTACTCGGCTTCCCGTTCACTGTTTTCACGAAAGGATGAACCATTCCAGTCGATCCAATCGTGTAAACATTGAACAGGTAAACAGCACCATTCGAATTCGTGGCAACGAGGCGTTGCTGGCAGTTCTGAGTCGCGATGCAACCCTGATTGTAGTTTTGGTAGAAGACGTACAGACCAGCGCCAGTAACTTGGATGTTGTTTGAGTTGGAGATGGTGAGTGCCCAGGATGCGGAACAGGGAAAGGCGCCGCCGCAGTCGGAGAATGTGGGATCGTAGGCGAACTTGTTGAGACTCGATGTGAAGGGTGCTGGTGCGATCACAAATGGTGGGTAGTACGGGCTTTCCGTTTGGATCTGGACGGCGTCAGCATGAAACCGCCTTACGGAGGGAGGCAGAGTCTTACCATTCCCATGTAGATATTCTGTGCGCTGGCAAGGTTGTATTGGTAAAGAACGAAGTGTTCGGAAGCGGTGCCATACAGCCAACATGGGCCTTGACTCTCGATCAATATGCCTATGCTATTTAGCTCAACGAACTGCTAGAAGGGAAGAATCGATACTGACCTCTCCCACTGAAGATGTTGATTTGTGTCTGAGCAACGCCAGCATCCATGTCATGATCCGCCGTCCAAGCCCAGACATTCTCGAAGTACCCGCTTGCTCCAGAGGTGACGTGGAAAGAGAGCGATGCAGCAATGCAAGCTGTGCTCTTTGATGAAGTCGGGCATTGCGCTGCTTGAAGATTTGTCCCGAGTGCTCCACCAACGCGGAAGTGGGAGTCTGAATTGACAAGTCAGTGACTGTGAACCCAAGAAGATAGGAGTTGTAAGATTACTTACCCCACATGGCAACAGAGCCTTGTGTTGCAGCCTTTGCGTTCCATTCGAGCAAAACAGCTCCTTGGGTCGCTCCTTTCACAGTAAAGAGGACATCTTGGATCTCGATATTACCGACGTCTCCAACATTGCCGACCTTAATCATGACCTGGGGATTGTTCATGTCGGAATACTTGGAGCCTGAAGCGACGAATTGCGCCCAGCAAGCACCTACAATAACAGAGTTGATCGGGATCTGGAATATCATACGTTAGCTGGAATTTGCAAGTAATAGCAGCGGCGAAACAATATCCCAGCCAAAGAGCAACTTACGAGAAGCGGCGGGCTCGCAATTATATACGAACCAGTCGGCACAAACACACCATGATTATAAGCTGCCCCAAGTGCGAACATTAAACTCAGCGAAGCAGTATCATCAGTTACACCATCACCTAGATTACATTTAGCTCAGAAAAACAAACGACAGAGAAGTGTTTGGAACAAGGCTAACCTTTCGCAAGGGCCTGGGCAATCAGCCAATAGTCATGGGTGGAAGAGCTATACGACGGCTTTTGTCGCTCGAAATAACCACCTTGTGGGCCACCTCGAAGACTGGCTGTGGCTGGGTGTGGAGCATCAAGAGGCTTCCCGCCAAACCACGCTCCGTTAGGATTTGCGGTGTCGTATACGGTACCGATGACCCAGGATGAAATGGTAGTCGTCCCTCCGTTCAACACAATACCGTTGGTAATATCGAAAGCAGCGTATGTGACAGACTGCAGCATCACATTATCGAGAGTGACCAAAAACTGCTCTTGTGTCGTGGGACCTTTGGGGGCGTTGATCACGACTGCGGCAAATGTGTTGGTGAAAATTGAGTCGAGGACGTAGATTGTGCCTCCCACCACACCAGCCGATTCAACGTAGATGCCATAGTTGACACCGACGGTTTGAATAGATTTCCCTTTGATAACGGTGAGCCTTTGTCTTATAATGACGATTGGTTGGAAAACTTACAAGTCCATCCCCAATCCCAAAGCATCCAGATAGCAATTTTAGTGCTGAGGAAATTCAACCCTCGCGTAGTAAATTGTTGATTACCGCCTGTGGAAAAGTCAGATCTCTCCCTAAAATATTGAGTAAACGTAATCTTACACTGCATCCCAATATAGCCATTCACAAAAATGATATCGGACATGAATCCACCACTACCATTTTCCGCATCTTGTCACCCGAATGTTAGCATAATTTTGCAGCAAATGATTAGGAGAACTTTGCAACTGACAGATTCCAATTTGAGTAGAACTTCCGGAAGACATATAAATCACGACGTTCTCAATGCTCGTTGCTGGAAAAGAGTTAGTGGGTGTATTACACAGGGGCGGGATAAGACAACCTTGTGCAACTTGCCAGTGGATCCCCTTGACGCCGTTGGTAGTGCAATGGCTCATGTCGATGAAAAGATAGCGGATTTGGCGGAAGAAATTATTCTACACATATTAGTCAGCCCTGTCATGTTGGCTTCATGATCGCGAAGTTTCTTACTGTGTTGAGGTAATACTCATTACTTCCACCAGTGTATACGTCTGAAGTGATAACTCCTAGGATTAAATATCAGCCAAGCTACTCGCAAATAATCAAGATACCAAAGCACATACCTAAACCAGAAAATTGGGGAGCGGCCAATATCACAGCGAAGTTATTAGGCTATGCAGAGTTAGACAATTCCCACTAAATAGAGAGCGTTTGTTGACGTACATTCCCCACAAGCTGAGTGTTGTATAACGAAATGATGGAACTGCTAACGAGATAAGTCCCTGGCAATGAGGTTAGTGGTTTAACGACAACAACAGGAGATCCAAAGGGAAGCGGTACCTGGAGGAAAGTAGATAAGGGCGCCCTTTACACTTGATGAGCCACAGTTATCTGCACAACGATTGCCAAACGCAATCGCAGCATTGATAGCAGCCGTATCGTCGTGGACTCCATCACCCACGGCGCCGAATTGAGGGTCTTTGACACTCCTGAAGACTTTATATGAAGCATCGCCACCAAATGGGAAATTGCCAGGAAATTGACTGGCCATATCTGCAAGCCAGTAGTAATTGTCGCGCTTCTCGAGGTTGGATCCAGTTGGAATGCCAGGCATGTTGAACTTGGAGTGGTTTCCCGTGAAAGTATAGTCCTTGAATAGCTTACCCTGAGAGGCCAGCTCGGCGGCATCAGCCTCTGCAACCATCGCAGCCGCCTTTGCTACTGTTTCATTTGTAGCCGGAAAAGATGCGCGGTAGCTGCTGGAGCCATTGGTAGGCCACGATGCCTGTTGGTGATTCTCCATCAAGTACCCATTGTGTTGTTCCACTTCAGCCACAACCGCAGAAACCAATTTGTGTGCTGCATCAAGGTCAGACTGCGGGGTATCTTGACGTTTTTGGACGGGCGCGCTATGGGGGGTGGATCGTTTGGTCGCACTCGAAGCTGGTTCTCTCGTGAGGTGGTTCCAAAGAGCTTCGATGTGTTCCGTCTCGATTTGGTCGACGAGGTGAGGGTTTAAATTCTTCCATTCATTGACCACATTGTCATAATGATCTCGAGTCGGCACAAATGGTGTACCTAGAGTTCTGATCAGTTTACAGTTCTGCAGAAGAAATTTAGTGGTACCATTATCGGACGCGGATTCATCAGTACGCGGGGCAATGTAACGGCCGGACACTAATGGGTGGGCAAAAGATAGAAGCGCGATAAGGAAGAAACATGGTTGTAAGAGTTGGCACGGACGCATCTTGCTGGAGTAGCTGCGAGCCTGCTATGCACGGTTTGGTAGTACCGATGCAGAAACCTTGTGCTGGAATCCCCGACGAGCAGGAATTACCAGGACTCATCATTTTGGACATGCTGCAAGTTAAGAACAAAATACCTATCACACACCACGCCGCGGCATGCGGCCGACAGCGTTGGATGCAATTTTAACTTCATACTAATCCGATCTACGTAAGGGGGGAAAGACGGCAGGGGGGGGTTATGATTGGCGGTAAATCCGGTTAGAGGGCCCGCGAATGCCTCATGGTCATGAACCAGTTGGAAGTGACCAATCCGAACTGTGCCTCGGTGATTATAAGGGTCGCGGGGCGTCGTTTCGGAGCGCTGGATGCGGATGACGGGATATGAGATGGACCCCCTTTCCCCTTTCTGGGTGCAGAGTGGGCACCAATCAACACCCTGTTGTTATGGGGAGTCGACCGCCTCCCCCAGATTCATGGGCGGGGATGGCGGGGCGGAGCGGAGCGGAGTCCCGCAGCTTTCCACAGTTGCAGCCTAACGAGGGGTAACGTTTGGGATCCATCTTCTCTGCCAATCTTCTTCAACACAACCTACCAGTTCCACTATCATTACTTGCGGACGACTTCAGCACGATTCACGAATGGCCCCTTTCGCCACACCATCACCGCGCCCCTCGAAATGAGTCAGTACCAGTACTCTCCTCTGCGCAAAGATCGCGACGAGCTTCGACTCGTCAGGCTTCTGCCTGGCCCGATATCAGCTGAGATAGAAATCGAGATCTTCCACGCACCGAGATCGTCCAAATATGAGGCGTTGTCCTATGTCTGGGGGTCTCCAGAGAGGACAGATGTCGCCCTGGTACGCAAGCCAGTCAAGGCACTGTCAAAGCCTGTGGACCACGCGAATCGCTCCAAAAGGGATGAGCATTCGGAGCCTTCAGCGACGATCGGGATTACCGACAACCTTGCGGTTGCTTTACACCATCTGAGGGACCCAATCCAGTCAAGAATCTTGTGGATGGATGCTATCTGTATCAATCAAGATGATCTCGCTGAGCGCAGTGCAGAAGTCCTCGAAATGGGTTCGATCTATAGTCGTGCTGAACAAGTCGTTGTTTGGGTTGGACCTAGCTCCAAAGATAGCCGACTTGCATTGGAAACTCTGAAGAGACTAGGAGATGGAATACGTTACCACGTGGAAGGCCATACAATTTCCAACGAAACGGGTAGCTGGGCGGTGCGCCTCGAAGGTGACTCCGAAGCTCTGAAGTTCAATCAGCCCAGCTGGTTTGCCATCAGAGACCTTCTGCGCAGGCAATGGTTCTCTAGACTCTGGGTCTTTCAGGAGATTGGACTGGCGACGAAAGCAACTCTGTTTGCCGGCCAAGATGGCATTGATTGGATCTTATTCATTACCGCTCTCCAATGGCTTTGGGGGAGATTAGAGCACCTGAACCAAGTCTTTCATGACTTAAATTTTGAAGCTTTCAACAAGTCTGGCATTAGTGGGTTGCTAAATGTCTCATTCAAAAGTTACCCCCGCGAGCTTGATACCTTCGGTCTCCTGGAATTAACGTCAAGATTGAATTCTTCCGATCCACGAGACCGCTTATATGCACTTCGTTCTTTGGCTGTGCCTACCGAGCGCAAATTTATCACACCGGACTATTCTAAGAGCGTGGAGGAAGCCTTCAAAAACTTTACTGTACGATTTTGCCAAGAAACTGGAGACGGATTCTTGTTGACCCGATGTTCGCTTCGAGATGTTTCGTCGAAACTCCAAATGCCGTCATGGGTGCCCGATTTTTCTGCGACCAACCTCCCGGGTGTATTTTATACTTTTAGTGCATCTGGTTACTCTAGGTTCAGCGCGGTGCTCAACAACGATAGTCTTACAGTCCAAGGGGTGAAGTTGGCGACAATTACCAGCTTACTTGACCCTTTCAAACCTAGCCATACAAACTTCGAGATTATCCAAGTCCTTCGATCTTGGCAGATTTCGTGTCGATCGAGTATGTATCCTAGTGGTGGCTCAACTTCTGATGCGTTCATCCACGCAATTGTTGGTGGGAAACTGACGGAATTCATACCCACCGAGACGCAAAGTGCCCTAAGTTTGGAACAATGTAGGCGGATTCTCGATCCTGGTGAAGCAGGCGTCGAGATCGAAGATATAAATTACATCAAGGCACACTTTGTGATGTATGTCAGAGCTACTCTTCATGGGCGAGTCTTTTTTAAAACGCGGGAAGGCTTCTTTGGAATCTGCCCTGAGTCTGCAAAAGATGGAGATCTCATGGTCGTATTTCCTGGTGTATATGCACCACTCGCGTTGCGCCCAGTTACGCATCAGGGGCAGCTTTCCTATCGCATTGTCGGGGCTTCATACGTCCACGGAGCCATGCACGCCGAAGTCCTGCTTGGTTCCATTCCTGTCGGCTGGAACTACAGTTACAAAATGGTTAATGGTGAGTTTTCTAGGCTTGTTTTTGCTCGTGGGAATATCCTCACGCAAAAAGATCCCCGGCTACCACTACCCCCTGAATGGAGATACAGGTATTTATCTGGGAAGAGATTTCAGGACTCAGAGCTGGATAGTTCGATGAACTTTCTTCCTCAGGGCTTCGAGAACGTGAAGACTGAGGAATCAAGCTGGTTCGATCCGAGGCTGACTCCCGACGCGTTGAGAGAAAGAGGGATTGATTTACAAGAGTTTGTCTTAGTGTAAACAAATGCAAAGATCTATTCGAAGACAAGATTGCCTGCATAAAGGTACTGACTTACACGGGCACGGGTTCCCAACAACTTTGTTTCATACTTGTTCTATGTATAAGAGAGGCCATTTGAGGACATACAAATATCTCATCCTCCTTATACTAAATACATTGCAAATAATTACTGAGCTAGTGAGAAAGTCGCTGATTTCGCGAAGGAGAGAGCGCAGCCCATGCGGAAGTTCGGCTGGTTCGGAGCGGGGTGAGCGGGGTGGGGATTGTAACCCCTGAATCCACTAGAAGCAGCCCCCAAAAAGTATACCCAAGCTAAAACTGCAGGGCTGATTACTCACACGCACTCAAAATTTAGCGCTCAGATCAACAAATCATCGTCTTCCAAAACTTTAAGTTCTGAACGGTTCACATTTCGCATTCTTGTCTATTACCCAAGGGAGTCTAAATTGCAACGAGGGAATCCAGAAGGCTTGTACGAGAAAGCGCTGAGTCCGGAGGCTTCGATATAAGCACCACATCCTCCTCCACTTCAATCCCTCACCTTCTCATGGCGGCCATTCGAGAGCGGACGAACGTGGAGAAACCCATGAACTTCAACGGCAACATGTCTCGCACAGACGTGGAGAACAGCGCCAGTCACGATGCCAACCGTTCCAACTCCATCGTGTCAGTCCCCTCCTACCAAGCCACTACAAGACCCTTCATCGGACGTTTGGGAGGAAACCAGGGTTTTGTACTCGACCGGCACAATGCAGCAAACGCAGAGATTCTGAAGGAGCAACCGGATAGCGCGCCTTGTATGACGCTCAAGGAGCAATTTGATCTTCGAGGATTTCGAAGTCTCGGGTTATGGAAAGCTGCCTTGATTGAAGGCGTTGGTGAGTGGTGACACTGGAGCCATATCCTCATCGCAAACCGTTGAGACACTGATTTGTGAAATGCGCAGGTGCTATGATGCTTATCTATGTAACTATCTGGATCAGCCTCTCACCATCCGCACTTCCCGCGCTGCCAACCGCACAGTTTGGCCCCTTCGACAATGCAACATTCATCGGCCCCCTCGTCGGAGGCATCACGAACTGGTTCCTCGTCACCCTGTTCACGTTCTCTCTGGGTTCCGTATCAGGAGCACATCTCAACCCAACTATCACCATCGCCACTTTCTTCGCTCGTCTTTGTTCGCTGCCTCGCATGGTGCTCTACGTCTCGTTCCAAACGGCCGGTGGAGCTATCGCCGGAATGCTCATACGAGCTTCTTATGGGTCCCGAGACTTCAAAACGGGGGGTTGCTGGTTGTTTTCTGATGTGGTTCCTGTATCGAATGCGTTTGTCATTGAGTTTGTGTTCTGTCTAACGCTGCTGTTCATGGCCTTTGGTGTTGGATTGGATCCGAGACAGAAACAAGTGATCGGTCCTGCATTGGGCCCATTCTTGGTCGGCATGGCGCTCGGTGTGGTTAGTTTCGGGAGTGGATTCACGAGGTACGGGCATGGCGGTGCGAGCATGAATCCTGCGAGGTGTTTTGGAACGTTTGTTGGGAGTAGATTTCCGGGGTGGCATTGGATGCATTGGTGAGTCCCTCGCTCTCCTATCGAGTTTCCTGAAAGGGTGCTTTCTTATCTTAATCTGGGATCTGTGCTAATGATATCTTGGGTTAGGACTGCGGATATTATAGCTTGTATGGTCCATGGCTTTTTCTACTTCATTGTTCCGCCATGGCAAGAAAATGCGCAGGCTGCAAATTTCTAGTGTATATGCAGATTACTGGAATTCAACCTCAACCAAAGCTCCAAGATTTCAAGGTGTCTCAAAAACCTCTCGCCCCTCCATCTCATATTTTGGAGGTCCCATTCCAATCTGTCCCGGTGCTGGTGTCGCCACGCTTGCTTGAGTTGCTTGCAATTCCGTACGCCATTCGGTCTTGGCGCCGACATGCGCTGCAGTATTACTGCGCGCCACCTGAGATTGTTTCCTCAGTCGCCTCTCAGCAACATACAGTCCCAGCAAACCCGCAATTATCGTTCCGGCGAAAAACGATCCCACTGACCCCCCTATAACAGCGCACAGATAGTTTTTTTTTGAGGGGCTTCCTTCGCGATACGCTTCACGATCTCTACGAGCCTCTGTTGGTTTCCAAATCGACGCATCTGCATTCAACAAAGCACAGCAGCAAAACACCGCCATTCAAGAATAGGATGAGGCAAGCCTCGGTTTCGGAGCGCTTGTTGATCCATATGCAGATACTTGCGGTAGGGAGGCCTTTTGGCGGACATTTGTCGCTGATATGATCGGTGACGGCGAGCCACAGACGAGGCTCGAGCAGAGGAAATGTTCAATATATGGTCTGGGCGTGCTAAAGCACCAGAAGGGGCCGGCAGTTTTACAGAGCCGTTTGTCAGCGCTGTGCTTAGGGCTTCGCATAATCGCAGGTTTTGCATTACTTCGAAGGGGTATATGGTTTTAGCTCCTGCTGAAGCAGTGCAGGGAGACTTGGCCTGCGTTCTGCTTGGTGGCCAGACACCGTTTATTTTGAGGCCAACGAGCGGGAATTTCCACCTGGTGGGAGCTTGCTATGTTCATGGAATTATGTATCGTGGAGCGATGGAGGAGTGGAGAGCTGGGAAATATGAGATGCAGGATTTTGTACTCGAATAAAGAGAGGATCATGGCACAGAAGGACGGTTCTCAAAACCCTCGTGCTTTATACTTGTCGGCAGAGTAGCCCTGGGAGAATTGAGCTGATTGTTCCAGTTCATTGCGACTTTGTCATTCTAGAATAAATGAAGTTGATACTGACTTTTAAATGGGTGCTACGGAAAGCCGTAAGGATCACTCGTCCAAGCGAGCTTTTCGACTTTTGACTTTTGACTTACGACTCGGCACGTGATCAACCCACCAAAAAAAACTATAAACACCCACACACCACGCCTATATACTACGCCCCCTCTCCCTGTGTCTCTACCTACTATTACTCCTTAGAATAATCACACACACTCTCTCTCTTTCTCTCTTTCTCTCTCTATAAGTATAAGGGTGAGAAAGGGGGGATATAGGAGGAAAGGGGAGTAGGGGCAAGGCGAGGGAACCCTACTAAAAATTTATATTACAAAGCACTAAATTTTTAGTATCTATAGCCTATAATTTAGCGATTATAGCCTTAATTTAGTAATAAGTAGCTTATAATTATAGGGTATTCTTTTTCTTGCGACTCACATACCTCAAAGCTCACTTTTCAATTTTCACTTCTCACTTTTCACTTTGCACTTGCTCGCCCTCCTCACCGTACCACCAACCCCCCTCCTCCCCACCTATCCCTCACCCTTCCCCTCTCTCTTATAAATATAAAAAAGAATTAAAGAGAGAGTAATATTTTAAATAGTAACAGAAGCACAGGGACAGGGGGCGTGGTAGATGGGCGATTTTTGGTGGGGTAAAGCATGCGCGTGCCGAGTCGTAAGTCGAAAGTCGAAAGTCGAAAAGCTCGCTTGGACGAGTGATCCTTACGGCTTTCCGTAGGGTGCGGGGTTATTCGCTTCATGGCGGTGTAGTGGGGCCTTTTGTACCCCTGAAGCTGACCCCATAATTCCATTTTGAATCCTAGGAGTCCTGTTACAATTCCCACTAGACTAATTTCTACCGCCCATGGAGAGGTTGAGAACTGCTTATATTATTGACTGATACCTTGGGAACGATAACGAGGAATAACAGCTGAGAATCGAAGGACTGGACCAACTTCTGGTGCCTCGGAAGGCAGAAACTCCGCTAGAAGTGTGCCTTATCAAGCAGGGGAGATTGCGATTGCTGGTGAGGGTGTATGAAGAAAGGAATTATGTCCAATCAAAATCGCACAGTGGGGGCTAACCTAGTCTTTGCCCCTTTAGCAACCCGGAAGGAACCGAATCGAACGTGGGAGGAAATATTACAGGTCTTTCTGCAGGATGACCTGGGTTGGATAGTACACCGGCATTACCTTTTAGCGAAGCACCCTCTACGCTGGTGCAGGCCCTAACGAGTAATGTTTGTTACACCGCCTTTGCAGGGGCTGCGCTGAAATGCCCTGTAGCAATGCGCTGTAGCCGACTTTTGCTTCGCAGAACTCAAGGTGGTGTAACAAACACTAGGGCCTGCACCTGCGTAATAAATATAAGGCTTAGTGAAGTGGAGTGCTTGGTAGATTGTGGGTCCTGTTAGCGCAGGCTACGCAATTTCTCCAGCGGGTGCGGCGCGGATTGTGGAGGTCCACCACCAGAGGGGAGGTTGCAGGATATAGCGCTTTGGGCTCCTATGCTTGCAGGTTCATGGCTGAAAACGACCTTCACTGCAGTTTCTCAGGCCCTCCCAGATCCATCAGAAGTAATCTGCAAGTGTTATAGACATCTTTATGTTGCCAGTTACTTTTATATCACTGAAGAATACTGTCTTCATGTGATGAATGGCGGTTTAATTTGAACCAAGGCATTGGAAATTTCGTCTGAATTCCGAGAATTCTTGGCGATACAGGATCGGGCCAATAGGAAGGAACGGGACATTCTCCTTTAGGAACGTTACTACAAGTATTCTGCTACTATCCCCCCCTAAATGTTTGCTAGCGGCCTCCACTGCCCCAGTTTTCGATAAGGTACGATTTCTGAGTGGTTCGAGCACCCGGCCAACCCTTTGCACAGGGCAAAAAGTGGCCTGTGTATCAAGGCAAGGGTGCGTGTAGAAGTTCAAGAAGGCTTTCTGCCCTGGCAGTGGCTCACAGCCAGCTTAAAAGGCACTTCCTCACTGGCTAAACACCCTGGATTCCTATCCGTACCTATATCCAAAATATACGCGCTAGCAAACATTTAGGGGGGGTACAAATATTAAATCTTCGCCGCTAAGGCACGGCAGCGACAGTGCAGCTGCACAAGCAATTACTCGCCGCGGGCGGCTTCTGGACAGTACCGCGATTGGACAAGCCTTTGGGCCTCACAAGGGATGTGTCGGAGGCTTACTCGGTTGCGGAGAAACGTGGAGTGTGATACCAGAAATGGAACGGAGGCTGCTGCTTAGGTGACATGAGATGAACAGGTGGCAGGGTCAAAGCTGGAAGGATTGAGCAAGACAGAACAAGGCTCTTCGTTCCTTCAATGGTTAAATCGATGAACTGATGCATGTCTTTCACGAGCTAGTCGCGTCGATGCGAGTGAGTTGCTCAAACCAGGTTCTCCAACCCTTTTGGACTTACGCATGCCCTTGAGGGTATTTCTCTCCAATCATGAGACCAATGTAATACGGTCGCGGTTGCACACAAGCAAAAAGGGTGGACTTGATCTGCACCTGCTCTCTTTCCCTTTCTTGTCAACTAGAATTGCATATAAATAGGCTCAGGTTTCCCTCAAGAAGTCATTCTTCGCCTTCTACAGTATGTTCAAACCTCAATTATCGTTATCTAATTATTCTGTTCTATCTTTCAATTATGAAAACTACATCTTTTCTCCTCTTTGGAGCTCTTCTCCTCACGTCTGGCGCCTTAGCTAGCATCTCATATACAGCCAAGATGGCCCATCGCGGTGCCGAAGTCCCAGCCGTGTTCTCTTCTTTGCCCCGCCGACACCATAGGCCAAAGCAACCTCGTCATGGCAAAAGACAACATCCCATCAATAACACTCTTAACTGGGCAGGTGCCATTCAAGAAGCACCAACGTCTGGGCTCTTCTATACTGTCTCAGCCAGCTGGCAAGTGCCTTCAATTTCGACACCGGTTGGCCAGACTCTTGGTACAGATGCATATTGGTTGTATGAATGGGTAGGTATTGATAGTTTGTGTGGTGCTATTCTACAAGCTGGGACAGGAGCGTACGTAAGTAGAAAATAAATCGAATTATCCAAGATAGGGGACTGAATCGCCTTTGTTTGCAGCTCAACACGCAGTCGGGGCAGGTCCCTTTAGTTTGGTGGGAATGGTTTCCCGAGGGTCCACAAGTAGTGAACATACCAAGTATTTATAAAATTAGTCTGCTCCAAGAGGTCTCAAGTGCTGACTTAATGATTCTAGTCAATCTTGGTGACACCTTCTTCACCAATCTCACGGCTACTTCCACCACAACAGCAATTTAGTAAGTGATGCTTGCAGAAACTAACATCTAAGCCGAGAATATCAGCTAATTTAATTCAGCTTTATCGAGAATGTAACCCAAGGGTGCGCCGTCACAATAACCATTTCCGGCGGTCCTACCCTCTGCCAGACAAATGCAGAATGGGTCGTGGAAAACCCGGGCGTGTTAGACACCCCCGTCTTCACAGATGTAATATTCACCAATTGTCTTGCTACGACCACTACTGGGGCTCAGCAGGGAATTGATGGCACTACATTGATCTACATGGACTCAAAAGATGGTGAGGTTTCCAAGGGATCGGAGATCAATGATTCGCAGCTTCGTGTGTTTTATTAGGGCAGAGACCGAAGTACTGTCTTTTGGCGGGATGGATTGGCATGCTCGGGTTGTTTTGGTTATGAATCTTAAATGCGCGCCTTGCCAGAGGTTTAGAACGTGATCGCCATCGCTCCTCCTTCCATATATCTAGGTAATATTTATATTGAAGAACGGTGAGGAAATTTTAACGTAATGATACCTTAAAGAAACATTGATCTAGCGTATCTGATTCGTATTGCAGTGTTCATGCAAGGAAGGAAATAGCAGAGAGGGTATAACCACAGGTGCGAAGTACCAAGTACCCGCACGCACAAAACCTAAATCCGAAATCGATAATAAGAACTAGAACAAGTAGAGCGGTCTTTCAACGAGCTTCGGATCTTTCGGTGGTCTTACTGGGGCTAGCATTACTCTGGGTTGGCAGTGCAATGTTATCTTCCAGTGTCCCCCTGCGGTGTATCTTACGCCACGCCTCAACTTGACCAAGTGCTTCCATTTGACCGCAGCAGCGATTCTTGCCACAACTGGCAGCGGCAGGCCCCGAGTACTACAAAATGAGAGAACGGAACTGCTAATAGATGTAAGCGCCAAGTCGGACAATCTGGCCGACAAATGCAATTGTTGGTGTAACAGCCAAAGGTGTTTTGGTTTCCAGCAAACACCGCCTGTAGACGTTTTCGTAGTGCATTTACGCCTGGCGCGAGGGTAACGGTAATAGATCCCGGATTGCTTGTGCGGTTGAAACATCGCATGAGAAAGAAATGGGTGTACTATTTTGGACGGATAACTCACGGGCTGGAGGGGTCTCTGTGATTGTCAACAATCGGTTGATTCCATTGGTTGTGCAGAGACGAGAATTGGCGAAAATGGATGAGGATATGTCAAGTCTGTTGGAAGGTCCTGTGCATGTCGCTCCAACAACCGTAGATATGTCTGCGAGGAGGGTCTCAAACCAATGTGGTTTGATAGACCCATCTGGCGTCAACACATCCCAGAGTCTCGGGGTTATTGTGCCCACCAGCTATACCAACTTGAGTGCAGCGTCTGAGAATGTTCCAGCCAGGAGCATCTGAGCAGTGGGGGCCGGCGGGGAAAGAGACTTGCGAAGATCAACAAAAGGCAGGTAATTGGGCCAAGTAAGGACCCCTCTCAGGCCTGCACACATCTTGCTTTCTTTCCCCTTTTGGGGATAGCAAGAACTGACGTTGAGATGTCCGTAAAAGGGGTTTTGCACCGAGGCTTGCATCTGAGGGGTTTCTCACCGCCTCGGCAGAACCGAAAATGGAAACACAACAATGGGGAGACATCGAGATTTGTTGATTATTCTGGGACTTTTGATCCCATTCCTCTGAGTGCGAATTGTGTTCTTCCATGCAAGTCAAAGAATAATAGAAACCTTACTAAGCTTCAATAGTAGAAGTCATTGACCAGAATTTATTCCACGAACTATGCTCCAACCTAATGCAACCAATCTTCCCCGATACCTGCTCAAAGAAGACCATTAACGCCCCATCCAAGCTCTCCAGAGCATTTCTACAAAGTATCACTCACAGGCCCCAGGCTCGAAGCTCTCGAGCTCTCCCTCGTGACCGGCGTCCTCGGAGTCAGCATCGGGCTCAAACCCCTCCGACTACTCTCATCATCCATCTCCGCCGGCATCGGCTCACTCCCATGCAACTCATACACCATACTCCTCCCATCAATCTGTGGCGTGATTGCCGCCCTTCTTTCGGACTCGATTCTATTCAGAGCCGTAAAGTAATCTCTTTCTCCATACTCCGTCGTCGGCATTTGATAGATTTCTCCCTGAGTTCCAAGCTCGCCGTCAGGTTGCTCTTCGCGATGTACCCCGCTAGGGTAATCGAGCTTTTTGTAAGGTGGGTACAAAGAGTTGGGATCATCGGGCAAGGATTCAGTTTTGATATCATTGTTGTCTTTGTCTAGGTTCGTGAGGCCGATGTCTTCGGTAGGAGCAGTGGAGGTTGGTCGGTCACGTTGACGTCGCCGTGAAACAAAATAGCCTAGTCCTGCTGCTAGTGCGAGAACGACGATTGCCGCAATCACTACAGCAGCGATGATGCCAGCTCCGACAGGTTTTGATGCTGAATTAGACGATGTAGTGGTAGATGAGCTGTTTATATATGCAGGTGATAGAATGGCGCTTATCCGTTCAGGAGCCCCGTCTTGCCAGACACATTGGCTGACCGAAAAGTTACCTCGTTCGTAGTCGACTGTTAGATACCTGCCAAAATCAACAACGGATATTGTTTCGGAACTTTTCAAGTACTCACGCTTCTTGGAGGAAAACTCTCCCAAGAGTATTCTGCGAATCATTTGCAGCTTTCTTCAGAGGGAAATAATACGTATTATTTGGAGTGAAAGGTGGAGAAGCAGGTAAGGCGAGTGCATTGAATGGTAGGACTATGCTGACAGTCTCCCCTCCAGACAAGCTGTTTGACAGGATAAATGTGACTTGGGGATTTTTTGCTTGAAGTTGAATATACTGTGTGGCGTTGATGAGATAAAGACCCGTTGCTTTGTCGGTTGCGATACCAAATGCTTGTTCAAATGCTTTGCACGCAGAATCGGGAAGCCAAATGTTTGGGTCCGTTGATTCAATGAAAGCAAACGTCGGAGTGGAGAGAAGGGTTGATTGGGTGGTTCCGCTGTAAGTGATGGATTGGATAGCAATTACAATATCACGGTCAATGTCTTGGTTTAAGGTGAATGAAGCAGAGTTCGGAACAAACCTCGAGGAATCATATCCGCCGAAGATGAGTTGAGCGTTCTGCCCGGCCTTTAACCCTAATCAGAGTTTCAGCGAACGTCATAAATTTGGAAGAGGGAAAGTACGATATTTTGCTCCAGCGGTGAAGCTCCAGCTGAGACTCGGTATGAGTTGTTGGGATCTTAGTGTCGTGAAGAGTGATGGTGCGGAGAAGTTTCCGATAGTGGAATAGTTGACTGGCTGCGTATTCAAACCTAGAATCCCGCTGATCGACTTAGCGTGATTTTCACAGGTGTTGCGGGAGTTCTCACAGGTAGAATGGAGTGGCTGTCGCAATTCCTGCAACGGTTTGATTCCTCAATGTTGGGTTGTTTGCTCCTCCGGCAACGAATCCCAAGCCCACCGTATCCAGTCCATAATCAGCAGCCTGTGAGTACCCTAGATTCTCCTCCAACCCCACCCCGTCTCCATTAATCCCAAATAGACCCTGATCCTGCCATGTAGACGATGTATTAGGATTGAAAAGTCCTCCGCGGGAGCTTGCACAACCATTTGGCACCGGGTTTATCGCAAGGGATGTACATCCAAGTGGCAACACTACCAGAGTTTCGGGGGAGTTTGTCGACGCGAGTACTCGTACATCCTGGGCAGGAGTTCCAATTCTGAGAGCAAAGCTACTCCATAGTCCGTCGACCCCGTCCCCTAAAATCTCAATCAGATAGCCCGAAGAGGACCGAGAAGAACTTACAGTATTGGCTTGCAGGAACAACCAGCGGGGATGGAATTACCTCCGTGGTGTTTGAAGGTTTTCGGGCCACCACATTAGCAGCTGCTGTCAAGCACCATATGAATAACAGTCCATCGTGAAGGTGAAATTGCATCACGACCAACTTCTTGTTGAGAGCAGTCGACACCAGGGCGTTCCGGGAGGCTTAGTGAGGGCTGACAGCAGAGGATGTGCAACGGAGGAAGGGCAAGTTGGGGTTGGCACCCCGATCCTCTCTACCCCTTTTGAATCAGCACATTCCCGATAGGGATAGAAGCGTGATCATCAGGGGCATTCAGCCATCGCCCAGAGATGAATTTACCCCCCCGCCTTATTACTTGTAATTGTGGGCCCTCTTGGCCGAGGGGGTTTGCATGGTAGAATGTCTGTGCTCTATGGACCCACTGTTACAAATAAGTTTAATTAGGAGTGGGGAGTGTAGGGCTGATTTGACCGGGGGTTCGGAACGTGCGTGGGTTGTGTGGAAAGCCAGAGGTCTGAGTGGCCATTGCCTGAGGAGAGAGCTGCGCAGGTAGTTTCCTCGGCTCCCAATTAAATATGCAAATTGCGTTTCTGGGACGTGTACAGGGATTATGCCCTGGGTTGTCGGCCGACGGCTGGTATCTCAGAAGATAAAAAGCAAGCGAGAAGCCAAGCGAACCCCTATTTCCGCTTGCAGTGCTCACCAACCGTGCCAACCATGCACTTGTCTTGTACCGACATGAAAACCTCGCCGCCATTCCTCTTTTTTTGCTTGCCTTTAAGCTTATTCTTGCTGTATTGTTGAGAAAATACTTCGACCTGGTGCAAAAGTTCCGTAGCATTTCAACATCTTCAAATAAGTGAACATGGTGGTCGTGAATATTTGCGGCGGGTTTGAGGAGCCGCAAGCCAAACGCGAGGTACAGGTCGGCCGACCTTATCTTGCCCTGGCAGTGTGCAGAGCTATCAAAATTATGTTCCCGCATGCGTCGGGTGTGCTTAACCGCTGCCAAGGAACACGACAATAATTTCACATCAGCAAGAGTCTCAAGTGCCGCCAATTGAATTCCAGCATGAAGCAGCTTGCCATGTCAGCGTTGGATAAATACAAGGATAGCCATCTGTCTCTCACTTGTAGGCGCCATTCTAGCGGCTTGGAGCCGCCTCTTGGTTGTGTGGTGTGTCATGGGTGGATCATCGCACGGTTCTGCTGGATCAATCTTGGGCAATTTTGTTCTGTCCCCTTAAGTTCTCTGGACCCGTAATGGCGAATTTGAATTTGTGTCTACTCGAAACACCACATTCATTTGGTTTGTCTTGTTGCTAAACTGCGCCTCTCAGACCTGATCTACAGGCCATTACACTCGTTTCAGGGCCACATTCTTTTGACTCTATATTTTCTTGCTCGATTTATAATAACTTAATCATGAGGCCCTCTATACAGCGTGGACAGTTATGTTTAATTCTTGCATCTTGTTGTGCTGTCAGTAGTTGCGAGGCTTCTAGTAAGTCACTTCAAGTGCTGCTGAAGATATTCACGACATATAATTAGTTGCAATTCTCTTAATAGGATCTTAATTGGCTCACAATTCATGTTGCAGAACTTGAGCAACAATCGGCTTCCTATTCAAATTCAACGAACACAACATCCCCTAACAATAAAGCGGCCATCACTCCAACGCCAACAATACTTTTCAGTTCAAGTACATCATCAAATTATTCCAGTACGATTACATCTGCACCAGTTTACCCTTGGGGAGATCAAAGTATCCCAATCAACACATGTTCGGTAACAGCTTCAGGTGGCGACATTCAATGGACGCCATGCCATATGTAAACTCAACATCCACGAGTCTGGAGAATGTTTAGCTAACAACGTTTTGCAGCTTTGCTGGGACAGTACGAATGAGTTATTTCCCGGACAACTGGGGAACATGGGGAAACAAGACTTATACCACCTACTACAATACTGACTTTGGCGTGACCATGTAGGAGTTCTCGTTCCATAGTGTACTTCTTCTTCTTCACTTTCAATTGGCTGATCCCATGCAAAGGACTTCTCCATTAATCTACATGATGGTCAACACTATCACTGGAGGGAATGATTGTGGTCCCTTAGGTCCCACCTATGCCGACAAAGTCATCTCGATGGACCCAACAGAGGTCTACACCTTGCAACCTTACGCAGATCACACGGTCACAACAAGAATGGGACCACCTCAACCATTGATATTGAGTGACCTAACCAGCAACTGTCAAGAAACATACAGCACGTTCTCAACAGACGGAGCGTTTGTCAACACACATCCTGTCTACGGCATGTACAATAGATGCCACCCTAGATTCGTGTTTCCCATTCAGCTCAAGCGCATCGGGTTGTAAGTATTCATAAATCCGTGCTTAGGGTAGTACTCATACAATTCCAGCCCATATTGGATGCATTGCGGGAATGACAATTACACTTATGGCATTTTCGACCCTCCAGGAGCAATTCCCCCTGTGAGTGGACTATTACCAACAACCGTCGCCGATCCCTACACATCGACTTATAAATCTGCAAGCGCTCTTCCAACTACTCTCCCCGTTCAAGAAACCTCTCAAGCACCACAACCTGCAGCCCCAACAACTCCTCCAACAGATCCAGCGATATCTTCACCTCCACCAGCCTCGGTCCCTACTTCAGCGACCGCGATAGCGACGGTAGGAAGTCAAACTATTAGCGCAATTCCCGGTTCATCGGGCGTTGTTCTGCCGAACGGATCAACAGCAAAACCAGGCTCGGTTGCAACAATCACGGACTCGAACAGCAAACCAGTAGTTGTCTCAGTCGGACCATCAGGAGTTTTTATCGGAGGCACAAGCCAAGGCGATTCAACAAGCTTCTTCGCAAATCCAACGTTACCCCCTGGCCCTCCTCCACCAACTTCAACAGCAATTGGCGTAATTGGAGGCCATACAATTTCAGCAGCGCCGGGAGACTCGACACTAGTCATCGATGACCAAACCATTACGTCCGGAGGCAATGCCGTGACACTCGCAGGTCCAAATAATGTGGTGAGTCTCGGATCTAGTGGGCTGGTGGTCGAGTTTCCAGGTGGCACCGTCTCAACCTTCACGCTTCCAACGGCCACTCCCGACTGGGTGACGACTACCGTGGACGAAATCACTGTCATTGCGTCAGCCGGGGCGTCCGTAGTCTTGGTCGGAAATCAAGCTGTCACATCTGGTGGCTCAGCGGTCACGGTTGGAAATGATGTCGTAAGTCTGGGATCAAGTGGATTGGAAGTTATGATGCCAGGTGGACGAGTCACAACTCTCTCCTTTGCTCCGAAAGCCGAAGCCAGCACGGCAGCGGGGGGTACAACTTCAAGTAATGCTCTTGGGTCCCTATTATCGCTTCCAGTATGTCCCCCCCCCCCCCCCCCCCCAAGGTCTTTATGAGGCGTTGCTAATTCAGCGTAGTTGCGGGAGCAAATCAGCCTGATAAAGCAATTGGAAGCCCAAGCAGCACGAGCTCGGGAGTCGGTCTGCCAGCCGCATTAGCTAAAGGGGGGTCTTGCGGGATTACTGTAGGAAAAGAAGTCGCTTGGTTGTGGTTGACTTTCTTTGCAGCGCTGAAATTAGTGTTTGGTCAGTAGTATAAGTTATTAAATAGTTCAGTCGACATAATAAAAGAATTTGATTTGTCTAAATATTTTTAGAACTCTCTAACTAGTAATGTTATATAAACTTACTTAAATATATAAGATATTAATTAAGTAACTTTATATATTAAATACTTATTAAAATAAATTAAAAATAGGTTTAGTTATTTTATTTTAATATAAATTTATAATATTTAATAAAATACTTATTTTACTTAAAGAAATAATTATAATAATAATTAATTATTATTTATTTTATAAGTAATTAAAAATATTAAACATATTATAGTTATATACTTTATAACTATTGCGTACTTCCTATATATAATATATTATACTATTGTGACGGCGCTAGCTGGGGGCCAAAGGGGGGTGGCTGTTACATGACCAGTTTCACCTAGCTAGCCGGCGTTTCAGTGGTTTTAGCTAGTATTTCCCTCCTTTTATCCCCTTTCCTTCTCTCTCTCTCTCCTTCTTCTCTTTAGCTTAGTATTTTCAATACATGAGATTCTTGGATCTTTGAGCCCTGGCCATTGCCTCGATCCCGCCGTCACAACTATATTAAGCTACGCTAATTTATATACTTACTTGTTATTTATATATTTTTACTTTAATATTCTCGAAATAAGCCTTATAATACTTTCTTTATATTATTTTTAATTAAATTATATTTCTTTTTTAAAAACTCGAAACTACTTTATTTAATAAGCCTTTATCTTTCTTTATATTTAATAAAGCAAACTTAGCTTCCAGCTTTAAAAACCTGGCCCCGTATAATAAATTTAACTAGTATTTAATAATAATTATAAATTCTCTCAGATTTCTCTTACTTTTCTTTATAATTAGCCTAAAATTCCCTCTAAGATTTGCCTCAATTTTCATAAATAGTAATATAATATAAGCAAGTGTTATCTTAATTGTTCCGGATGAGGAAACTTTAATAGCTAGGGATAAATCTTTAGGCATTAGGGAATGAATTAGCTAGTGCCTTATATCTTCTTTTGAGCTGTTTTTCTTGACAGGTTTGAAGAATAAATGTATTCACTAAATTGCCGAGTGTTATATAAACAGATTCCTATACTAATACTATTACAGCGTGCATTCCCTGTCCTCACTTGAGAATCACGTGCAAGTTGCACCTGAATCATTCCTCTAGGCTCCCGCAGAGTCTCTTTAATAAGAGGAACAACTTCAAGCACATTTTCTACTATAGTGTCACGTACGCGGTTAGTCACGTAACGCACACTGTGCTCTCATATAGTAGAATAGCTAATAAGGTCGCAACCTTATTATTGTGCCTTTTTGTCCGTTTACCCACGCGGTAAAGCTATTTTCCCTGCGTGCGTTCTCGCTAGAGATGACACATAGTAAAGTTCGAAATCAGCTTTAGTTTAGAAGACTCAATGATTTTATTTTTGACCAACATTTGCGGAATTACTAACCTTTTATTTCTAGCCTAATTTCAGACCCCTGCAGTAGCTGTAGACTTCTGCCTGAGGTTTTTGCAAGGGCCATCGGCGTTGTTTCTGTTGCGTCACGTGAGAGGATTGAACTTCTGCTTTGTTGCAATGTTTTGGAGGTTGACGACTTGATTTTTCAGCTCACGCGGGGTAAGCACTCTATATATACACCTAGTATATAAACTACAGTGTACCAGCGTACACTCAGTTCCAACATGCTTGAGAAACCTTCAGCCACAGTCTGGCTGTGAAGCCTAATAATCGGGAGCGCATTATGCGTTTCCAGCCCTCCCTCTCCCCCTGGACGAAAAAAAGAGAGTACAATCCCTTCTTAGGCAGAACCTGGAGTAAAGCGCTTATTGCCAATACTGTAAGGTATGAAATATATCAATGAAATAGTCGTTCGTATCGTCTTTGTCTATCACTCATCCCCCTCTTCCCCAACCCGCTCCTCGCTAAATGCTTGCCATTCTCGGTTCCAATAGTTCCTTCTCCATAATTACAAAATACAAATCATCACTTAAAGCCTTGCCATTAACAAGGTGCGCGTACGGGAACGGCTCCGTCCGATCCGTCTTAGTGTACCCCCTCCGAATATACCAATCAATCATTTCCTGTCTCGGCCAAATAACTCGCATTTCCATCATTCGAACACCCAATTGATCCCTAGCCATCACCTCTGCCTCTACAAGGATCTTCTTCCCAAGCCCACCAGCTTGTCGTAATGGGTCTACAGCTAAGAGGCCAAAATATCCGAACCCGCCGTCTCTGCCTTGGATCTCACAGCACCCTACCAGGGCGCTGGAATTGTCGTGTGCGAGGAGAACAAGGCCGTTGGCCTGGTTGATCTTTGCAATGACCCCGGCCTCGTCAATGCGGTCATCGTCTACGAGGTCGGCTTCTGTGGTCCAACCTGCGCGACTGGAGTCTCCGCGAAAGGCGGATTTGATGAGTACTTGTGTATCTCTCGCGTCGGCAGTTGTGGCCTTGCGGAATGTGAGCACCGTTTGCGTTGTGACCATTGCGCCAGTAGTAACTGAGGTGTGGAACTTGGAGTTGAAAGTAGTTGTTGGTGAGTTCAATGTTAGTTTTTAGTATTGCGACACAAACAACACCCTGTGACGTCACAAGCGTCGATATTTGATGTAGTTGAAGTATTAGCTGTCGGAGATTGAATACAGGTACTTTATCAGTAACGAATGTTGGGTGAAGGGCGTAACCGAGCCTCGAGATTGACAAGCCAACGACGTGCGGAAATCCTCAGGCCGAAGTCTACAGCTGGGGAAATAAGCTACAGCAGGAGTCTGGAATTAGGCTAACAATAAGAGGTTAGCAACTCCGTAAGTAAATATGGGCCAAGAATAAAATCATTGCGTGTTCCGGAACTAAAGCCGATTTTGAACTTTACTGTAACAAATCCACGAGACCACTTCGAATTGTAGAATTAAAGGCTAGAAGAAAAACCTTTCAAGGTGAGCGTAGGGGCTGTCACGAGACCAAACCCATGTAAATGGTACTAGTGCCCTTTAGGCTTAGCTGGCCGGAATAGACCTTCACCACCAGGGGTCGCATAAGCAGGTACAAATGCAAAGAGCGAAAGCCAGATTTTCTCACTCCAAGAGAGCATATTGTGTACTGGGGGGGAGAGGTCGCCCCGGCCCCCCAAGCCACCCCGGACACAAAAGCGCGCAAGAGAGCGTATTCTTTTAATACTTTGGGAGGTGTGACTGCGGGATCGAGGCAATGGCCAGGGCTCAAAGATCCAAGAATCTCATGTATTGAAAATACTAAGCTAAAGAGAAGAAGGAGAGAGAGAGAATGAGAGGGTCAAAAGAAGGGAAATACTAGCTAAAACCACTGAAACGCCGGCTAGCTAGGTGAAACTGGTCATGTGACAGCTACTCCCAGCCAGCGCCGTCACAGGAGGTAAGATAATAGCCTTAATGTGAGAGAGTGATTCCTCTAAACCACTCACTTTATGAAAAAAAGAGAGCACGAGAAGATAAGAATAGGTATTTAATCCCGGGGAGGCCCCTAACTTGAACCCCCACAAGAAGAGTAAGTAGGAATAAATATTTAATCTTGGAGAGAAAACCCCACTGTAACCAACTAGTTTTTATCTAATCATGTGACTTATTCTTAACAGACCTATATGGGTACAAGTCATATTTTACTGCATTTATAAGTAAGTATTTGAGTTTCTTATTTATTTTACAGATCATGTGACGTTCATATTTTACTAGCACGTGAACATTCTGCCACCCCAGTCCACCTCGCGTAAACAAAAGCTTCGCTGTGACAAGTCAAAACCCTACTTTTAATCATCATGAATGAAAACCTTACGTCCCCTTTTACCCTTTCCATTCTCCGACGGCATCCTTTTTAGGTGCACATCGCAAGAAAGCGATACCTAGGCAGCACGAGAAGGGGCCGAGCACGATTTATTTTTGATGTGCCCAACACCATGGACGATGAAATTTTATCATCCCAGACAGAGTACAAGTATGCTCCGCTTCAAGGACCTCACTCAGTGCGACTTTTGACCCTGCATCCCGCTGCATCATACGAAACACCTATACGTATCTCACTCCGTGAAGCCTCGCTAGATGTCTCTGTCAAGTTCGCCGCCGTGTCTTACACATGGGCTACAGAGGATGGGGACTGCTCATTGTCTAAACGCGTGGAATGCGACGGGGCAATCATCAAGACTACGGCGAATTGTGATGCTGCAATTCGGAGAATACGCCAAGTTGAAATAGGGTTTGACGTCTGGATTGATGCAATTTGCATCAACCAATCCAATGACGACGAAAAGAGTCTCCAAATCCCACTGATGCGCCAGATTTACGGGAACGCGCTCTGGGTGGCATTGTGGATTGGCGAGGCGTCTTGCACTCTAGATGAAGAAACATCTCGACCCGTAACTGATCTGGCAATGGAATTCTTTCACAATTTCGCGATTGAACTGCAGGGAAGTAAAGATTCGGGCCAAAATCCACGAGGTGGGACACTCTACCAGGAAGTGGTAAGAGAGCGAAAAGCATTTCGGCGTCGCGGTGTTGGTGCATTCTCCCCGCCAATTCGAGGACTGTGGGAAATCTTACATCGGCCATGGTGGAAACGGTTGTGGGTAGTGCAGGAGGTTTCCATCGCACGATCGCCTGTTCTCCTCTGTGGAAGTCAATCGGTGACATTCGACAAGGTGGAAGTCGTCATCGACGGACTGGCGAGAGAGCATCCTGGCAAGTCTGGTGATGAACACGAGTTCTGCGCAAACTTCATAAATAGCACATTCCCACACTTTGTCATGAGAGATTTCGTCAAGAGAGCTCAACTTCAGAGCGACTACACGTTCGGAAATGCAGGGCCAGGACAAAAAGCCATTCAAATCCTTGACAACACTCGCAACCTTCGTGCGACTGATCCACGAGACAAGATATATGGAATACAGGGCTTTTTCGGTGATCCTCAATCAGACCCGGAGAATATTTTTCCCGCTCCAGATTATAGCAAGACTGCAGCAGACTTGTATGGTGATGTTGCTCGAGGAATCATCATCAAGACCAAGACGCTAGATGTTTTATCCACATGCTACGGCTGCGTGCGAACAATACCGGATTTGCCATCCTGGGCACCGTCCTGGAACCACACTCCACTGGCATATTTCTCAGTGACAGATTTCAAGGCTGCCAACGACTCTGGTGTTGTGTATGAGGCATCTGGAGACAGGCAATCTCTGAAATTGAAAGGGAAAAGGGTTGACGTCGTGAAGCATGTACCTGAGATTCCAGGAAGGCTGGAATATACCGACCTCGAGTGCACTCGTCTGTGGCGTCAATGGACTGACTTTGCCTTTTCCCTACAATCCTACCCGACAGGGGAGAGTATTGCAGATGTTCTGCTGCATACGCTATGCTGGGGAAACAATACGGCCTTGAAACGTTTGGCACTGGGTGAATATCGAACGAGCTTTGAAGTTTGGCTCAAGATTTTGCAATCTAGCAATCCTCTGGAGGCGGTCGCAAGGGATCTTTATGAAGATGAAATGGCATGCTCATACACCCACAGGGCTGAGTTCTTGATATGGGGAAGATCTTTGAGTACAACAGTGAATTCGCATTTGGCTCTGGTGCCAATAAGTGCATCTGCTGATGATCAGATTGTCGTACTCAGTGGAGGAAAGATACCTTTCGTCTTGAGAGCCACAGGTAATACATTTCTGGTTATCGGACCTTGTTATGTGCATGGTATCATGGATGGAGAGGGGTTTCCAAGAGAGGAAGCTGCGGAAGACTTGGAATGGTTCACGCTTCGCTGAACAATGGCATCCAAATCATAGAGTTTAGGTTTTAACAGGAACTTATTAGCATGTGTCGTTTGTGACCTGACTGATGTGGAGTGAGTGGCCTTTCTGCCTAATTTTCAGTACTGAGGTCTACTGCCGCCTGTCGTTCAGATGTTCTTTATAAGCATCAATAGCTGTAGTCTCAATATAATAACTCAAACCAATTTCTTGAATCGCTCTATGTGCCACAAAGCGTGTCAATACTGCTTACCTAAAACCAATGTGGCTAACAGAACTCTTCAACTCTTCTGCGTTAATTTCCTTTACGGGAAAACGTCATGCTTAGGGTTTTATCTCATCTCGGGTTGGGACATAACAAATGGCAAGGCATTAATTCTCAATTTAATAAAGTTTAAGAATTTAAAAGTATTTCTCTAATATAATGAAATTTGAAGCTAGTCTTTATTCCCTTAACCTAAGCCTATTTAGGCAAAAGCTAGATTAAATTAGGCAGCCACATAACAGGCTTTAATATTGCTCTAAATAACTTCCTTAAAGAAAGCGGAAATATTTCTTTTTAATAAATTAAGGAGGCTAATTTAATTTTCTAAGACTTGAAATTAAATCAAAAATAAGTTTATTATAAAGCTCTAAGTATTTTTTAGCTAGTTTATAAACGTTCTTAATAATAATTAAACTAATATGTATTTTAATTAATTATAAATAAGTAATTTTCTTTTTAATTCCGGATTTGAATAATTAAATAAAGCTAATTAATATAAGAATTAAAAGTTTATATTCAAAGTATTTTAGGAATTATATTTATATTTATAATATATAAGAAAGAATTAATAATAGCTTTCATATCTTTTTGCGTTTTTTAACTTATAAATTTAATTAATTAATTATATTAAGTTATATATAAGATATTAGCTTAGTTATATATATAACTATATATAAAAGTGTATTTTTATTAAATATATATTATAAAAGTGAATAAATTACTTTTAATAATATTAAAAGAAATTAATTTCTTAAAAGATTTATATAAAAGAATGTTTTTGAATTTTAGTTTAAAATAAGAAAATAAGTTTAATAATAAAGATTCTTTTTTAATTAAAGTAATTTATTTTTGGGAATTTTATAAGCTTGTTTATTAGTCCTTAATAAAATATTTTCTAATTAAACTAATACTAGAAATAATTTTATTTCTCAGATTAAGAGCTTTATTTTTATTTACTTTTATATTAATATACTTTAAGACTTGTATAATTAAATTTAATATGACTAAGAAATAGGGTATTTAAGAATATTGAGATTAATATCCAGAAAATACTTTCAAATCTACGACCCCAATTAGTATTATCTCTACGTGTATTAATGGTATACCTTTTAAATAAATGATATAATAATACTCGAACTAGAAAGTAATAATATTTCGGTATAAATAAGAAAAATATTAATAGTATAGCCTATATAAGCGAAATGAGATTAAAAATAGTAAGAGCTTATTTAATTTATTTATCTGTTAGTATAATGGCACTAGCTAGGGGCCAAAGGGGGGTGGCTATATAAGGCACGTAATAGCAGGGTGATATACAAGTAGTTAAGGTAAGTAAGCAGTAACGCTTGCAAGTATAACTAATTCCAAGAATTAATTCTAATAAGAGACTAATTAATGCCCCTTCCAAAGCTAGGAGCGTCTCCCTATATATTCCCTAGTACTTAGCCAGGTATATAAAGCCCTTTACTTAATTAGGAAATCCCATATAATTCATATAATTCCAATTATAAGCTATACCCAAAATAGGAAACTAGATCTATAATATCTAATACCTATCTATATACTATTATATATATCTATTATATTAATTCCCCCTCTGGGCCCTTATCCCCAAGAGGCCTGGGAAAACTATAAATAGCTTTATAAATATTTCCCTAAAACTTTCCTGGCCACTAGCTTTCCCCAAAGACTTCCTATAATTATCCTATTATTATACTAGATAATAGAATTAAGGATATAGTTTACTAATCCTTTCTAGCTAGTTTGCAAATTGCCTCTAATAATTTCCCCTTATAAAGGTAGTATAAATATAGTATATACTATTAGATATAAAGCTTATCCAATCTCCTAATTAGTTCGTAAATCCTAACTTAGCCTCTATTTATAAATAAATTATTATTTTATAAACCTAAGAGCTTGGAAAAGTTAATTTGATTTTCTGGTTCATTTATAAATCCTTTCTTTGGAATTTTCTGGATATTCCTGGTATAGAGCCGGTTCCGAATTCGTAATTACTATTTAGGGAGAAGGTATTATAAAAAGGCCTTCCTTTTCCTACTAACTAACCTTTCTTTTCCTTAACTATAATACCGTATCTAGCTCTTCCTTATTCCTTGCCTTCCTTCTTTAAGCCTTCTTTAAGCTTCTTTAAGCTTCTTTAAGCCTTATTTAAGCTTTATTTAAGTTCTCTTCTAATTTCCTCTTCTATTTCTTTATTTATTAAGATAAATACTTCTCTTAGTACTTATTAGCCTATTATTACTTATTTGGCTAATATTCCTATATTTTTAATTTGCCCTTATTATTTTTAATATTCCAAGAATATTACTAAGTTTTCTAACCTTACTTATATTAAGAGTAATAATTACTTAGTATATAATTACTACTACTTTAAGAATAAGAAGTATAATCTTATAAATTACAAATTTCTTCTTTTATTCCTTATTCTAATACTATCTAAGGTTCTTTAAATATATATAGTATAGTTAAACCGCCTTTTTTAAGCCATTAATATATATAAGCGTCTTTCCTATTCTTTGCCTAAAAGAAAGAAGGCTATTATTATTCTTCTTCTATACTAAACTATATATATTTCTTATATTAAAGCTATTATTTAAGGCTAATAGATTTCCCTAATAATCCAAGGAATGGATTAAGTAATTCTTACTAGCTTAGTATAAGTATAAAGTACTCTTAATAGTATAGTTAATATTCTTTAGTATTAAATAAGCTTATTTCTTCCTTATTTCTTACTAATAGCTAATAGCTTTATAGGCTAATTTATTATTTATTTCTCGAGAGAATCCTAATAAGAATAATAATAAGGATAGTAAAGAGTAGTTATAAGAATAGGGTATTTATAGGATATAGAAATTAGAGTTTTTAATAATTTTCGTATAGTTTTTCTAAGAATAAATATATGGTTTTTTAATAGTTTCCTAATAAAAGCATTTATCTTTTATATTTCTATTTGGCTAATAGTATTATAATATTACTCTTTTCCAAGTATTCTTGTAATTCTTGAACTATATTCTTTAGATTACTTAGTAATTCCTATATATTATCTACTAGTAAATAGCTTTTCTAATAAATAAGATATTTCTTTCCTTTTCTATTCTTCCTATAGGCTATAATAGATTCTATCTCGAATTCCTCTTTGCCCTTAATCTCGACTAGCTCTGGTTCTACTATAGTACTAGTTTATAGGTATTATAGTTTTAAGAGGAAAATATAGAAAATATTATAGATCTAATATAATAATAGTAATTCCAAGTAATATATTTATTTATATATTCCTATAATTTCTAGAACTTTAAAGGGGCCGAGATATCTATTTACTAGCTTTATACTAGGTTATAGCTATTAAATATTCTTTATATAAAGTATAACTTTATTATATATCTTAAACTTCTTATTAATATATTTCTTATTATAGTACTTTTTCTATATATCTATTACTTTTTACTATTATTTTTCTAGTACCTCCTGTTTTACTTGAATTCTTTATATTCTTTCCTATATTACTAGTGCCTCTTTTTCTAAAACATTATCCTTAATATATAGTTTAATACTAGAATAGAATCCATATAAGATATAGAATAGGGATATTTCTATTATTAAATATATAGAGTTATTATATATGAATTCTATAAGAGTAAGCTTTATTATCTAGTTATTTTACTAGTAGCTAGTATAATACCTCAAGTATTATTCTAGAGTTTGGTTTAGATTCTTTATTTATTTATTAGTTTATAGGTAAAATACTATACTCAGCTATTATTAAATCTTTAAGTAGAAGTATAGACTTAACTAGAACTTGCTTATAAAAACAGATCCTCTATTAGAGATTATATTTATAGGTATATCAAAGTCTTTAATAATATAGTATATAAATAGCTCTACTAGTTTAGAAACCGAGATCTTCTTAGTAATCGGAATATATTATATTATTTTCATATACCTATTAATAATAATAAGTATAGAATTATATACTTTACTATAAAACCTAGAAGGAAATAGCCCTATAATAAAGTCTATAGTAATTTCTTACTATAGCTTAGAGGGAAAGAGAAATAAACTAAGTATATTATATAGCAGATATTTCTTTATCTTAGTTTATTAATATATAAGATAAGTTCTAATATAGTTTTTTATATTCTTTCTTATATTTTACTAGAAGTACTTTCTCTAGAGAATCTCTAGTATCTTACTAGTACTAAAATACCTATTTATAGGATTATTATAGTTAGCTTATAGTAATTCTTCTTTGAGAGCTAGCTTATTTAGTATATAGATAGTACTCTAATATCTTAATAATCCAGATATATTAAGTTTTCAAGTCTTAATAGCTCTAGTAAAGGTCTTTTTTAAGAACTATTTATATTACCGGTATTATACTAATAGATTAAGTCTTTAGTATTATAATAGTAGTTTAAATAATATCTCTCTGCTTTTCTTATATACTATTTCGGATCTAGCTACCTATATAGCTAGAATTCGTAGTATATATTATTTATAACTAGCTATACTAGTAATAGGCTTAAGTAATAGTATTTCCGGTATTACTTTATTACTAAAATAGACTTCCTTTTCGGAATTCCTTAATATCTTACTAATTAAAGAATACCTATCTCCTCTCTTCTGGGCCTTATATTATAGTATTATAGGAATAATATAGTATTCTATTACTACTATTTATAGGGTTTTCTATTCTATATTCTATAGCTTATTATAAAATATAAATAATAAAATGTTTTTATCTATATCTACTATAAAGTCTGGCTTCCTTAATAGCCTATTAGCGGGATTACTATATCCCGGCCAGTACTTTAAGATAAAGTTAAAGATAGCTAGTTCCTTTACTTATTTTATCTATTAACTATTTAGTTTTCTCTTAGTTATAAAATATTTTAAGTTATTATAATTTATCTTAATAATAATAGTATACCGGATATATATTAGGTAATATTACTAAGTACGAAATACTAGAATAATAGCTAAGAGTTTAGAGTTATATATCTTATACTTATTCTTAATTATAGTTATTTTTTTTAAATAGAAAATAATAGGGTATTACTTGGCTTCTGCCCTCTTACTAAAGAGCTAGGAAATTATACCTATAATTATAAATCCTAAAATATTTGTTTTTATATAAATCTTTAAGGCTAGATCGAAATAATAAAAGATTAATACTATTATAAATATAATTTATAGCTTCCTAAAAGCCTTATCTGCCTTATCTATCTAGCTAAACTAATATAGTAGTTTTCTGCTAGTTTTTAGTAAATTAGTTAATTCTTTTACTATCCTGGAATATCTATAGATAAACCTCTAGTAAAAGTTAGTAAAACCCAGGAATACTTGGATTTTTCGGATATTATTCTTTGGGGCCGGCTATTCCCTAATAGCTATAACCCGGCTAGCCTTTATTTTTATATTATCTGGGCTAATTATAAATTCCAGGAATTCTATTTTCTTTATATTAAACTCGTATTTTGCTAAGTTTATAAAGAGCTAGTATTATTATAACTGCTTGAGTATATATTAGACTACTATTATATACTATTCTGGGTCCTTTAAATAAATTAAAATATTATTTAAATAGACTATATAAATAATATTTATAAGGCCTACTAGTATATAGTTAATATATGTCTGGAATATTACCGGAATATTAGATAGTCTAAAGGATATAATATAGTACTTAAAATATTTATAGTATATTCAGAATACTGTTTTTTACTTATTACTTTCCTGTATTTATAATTAATAGTAAGTATCTTTTAAGTCTAGCTTTATATATACTTTTGCTCTATAAAGCCTGTCTATTATCTTACTAATAAGTAGTAATAGTATTTGGTTCTTAATAATAATTCTATTTAGATTCCGGTAGTTAATATATAGATATAGGCTGCCTTTTTTCTTTAGAATAAATATAATTAGGATACTAGCTAGGCTAGTAGAATAACGGATTTACCTCTTCTTTAAGCTAGTATTAAGATATTCCCGAAGGACTTTAAGCTCCTTTTCTAATAAAGTATATATAGGACTATATAGTAATTAAGATCCTGGTTCCAGATCTATATAATACTCTATTATATAATAGTCGGGTAGTATATTTATAGTCTCTATAGAAAATACTCGAAAAAGGTCCTAATACTTCCTAGGAAATATAGCTATTTTATTTATAGTAATAGTAGTAATCTTTCGGCTATCCGTTATAGGATAGGTAGTTAATAGAAAAACATATACCTTATACTTTATTACTTTAGTAAACTTCCTAATATTTAGAACTTTAATTTTCTATAGTCAAATCTGGTATTTTTATATTATTTCCCTAAAGGAAATTAGGGAATTGACCTAGTAAAGCTATAGGAATCCAAGTATTATATTAATATAGTTTAGATTAAAATCATATAATATAAAGTATATATTAGTCTTTCTTTAGTTCCCTAATATATTCTTAATAGTAATCCCAAGAATATAATTTCTATATAAATGAATTCTTCTTTCCTCTAGTAAAAATAAGGGAGTTATCCTTAATATTAATAGAATACCTATATTTAAGGCTAATTTCCTTTTTATATAATTGGCCTCTATATTTAAATTAACTAATACTCTGACTTTTTACTTATTTTTTCTTGTTTTAATAGTAACCTTAATTACTATTCTCGTTTTAGGGGCCTTGCTTTCTATAGTATAAACAAGTATAACTATTATAGGATATATTCGTTTCCTGGCTTCTTTGGTTCTAGGTACTTATATGCCTTATAGCCAGACTTATTATAGTTATAGCAAGTTAGTTTTCCCTGATTTGGGCAGGTAGTAATATAGTAACTCTTTTTCTAGTAAGTAAAGCAAGTTATACCCGGTCTTATAAATTCTAATATAAGTACTATATTAGATCCTATTACTATGCTTTTGCTATTCCGGTTATATAAACCTTATAATAAAGATATATTTCTTTTCTATTTCTCTTTATTATTTTCTTTTTTCTTTTTCTAATTTTCTTTCTTTTATTAACCCGTCGGCTTATTATTATATTCCCATTAAGTAGACTAGTTTAAGTTATTCTCGATTTTTATGGCTATAGAAATAAGCTTTTCTCTTTTTTATAAAGTATTTCCTTAGTAATTAATCTTATTCCGAATCTCCTATCTTAAGCTACTAAATAAGTCATTTCGCTTTTATAGTAAACCCGTATATCCCAAGTTATCTAATAGGCTATCTAAGTAGGATATAAAGCTTTAGATACTCTAACCTAGCTACTATTTTATATTCTTAAACTTAGTAAGAGCATTATTATTATGGTTTTCCGGATCTAAGATAGAATTCTTTATAAACTCGATAAAAGTCTCCTAATCCGTAGTATTAATACCTACTAATTACTTCTTATACTTTTAGATATTCCTGGCTATATTCTTAAAGCAGGAAGTATAATATATAATCTTTACTATATCTATAGCCTAGGTAATCCCGCTATCTTTATACTATTTTAGCTTTGCCTAGTAGAAGAAGTCCTGGGCTTCTTTAATACTCTTTCCCTTATAGGTTAGTAATTCTCGGGTTTTTAGAGTCCTATAAACTAAATATACCACTAGTAGTATAATAGATTCTATAATAGGTATCCGAATATCCTTAAGACGGCAAATCTGAGCTTCTAAATCCTCCAGATTCTCCCTCTATTATATCTCTGCTTCTAATTTAGTAATGCGATAACGAGCCGCCGCTAGCTTCTCCGTTATTATTATCCTGCCAGCTGGTTCTGGGGGTATCTGAGTTCTACTCCCTTCTCCTGATTAGGCGATAGCTAGAGTAGCTGACTGGGCACTCCCCTGGGTGCCCGACTGGGTCGCCCTAGCAATAGCAGAGGCGCTTCTTCTGGTTAATACTCTAGCCATTAGTGGTTTTGTCTGTCGATAGCTTGACTACCTTATAACGAACTGCTCCCCGAAGGTTAGATCAATTAGAATATAAGGTACGTAATAGCAGGGTAATATACAAGTAGTCAAGGTAAGTAAGCTACGGAGTGACGCTTGCAAGTGTAACTGATTCCAAGAATTAATTCTAATAAGAGACTAATCGATACCCCTTCCAAAGCTAGGAGCGTCTCCCTATATATTCCCTAGTACTTAGCCAGGCATGCGAAGCCCTTTACTTAATTAGGAAATCCTATGCGATCCATATGATTCCGATCGCAAGCTGTACCCAAAATAGGAAACTAGATCTACGATATCTGACACCTGTCCATGCGCCATCACGTGTGCCTATCACAGGCTGTCACATGACCAGTTTCACCTAGCTAGCCGGCGTTTCAGTGGTTTTAGCTAGTATTTCCCTCCTTTTATCCCCTTTCCTTCTCTCTCTCTCTCCTTCTTCTCTTTAGCTTAGTATTTTCAATACATGAGATTCTTGGATCTTTGAGCCCTGGCCATTGCCTCGATCCTGCCGTCACAGTTAGGCAGGTATCGTATTAAACGAATTACAAGATTAAGGAACAATCCAAAAGTGTCCGATTACTTGGTCTCCTTGGTCTCTTCCTGCGTGGGTGCGAGGGCCTCCTTCGATGGTGCAATTCCTAATGCATAGGGATCGACATGAGTGGAGGCGAACTTCCGGGCGGGCACCTTCTTCTGGAAAAGGAGATCCATTTCCTCGTAAGTGCGGCCCTTGGCCTCGGGTAGGCGGAAATAGGACCAGGCAAACATTCCAAGGGCGGTGGCGCCCCAGAAGAAGGCTGTCTTTCCCTTGGCGTTCCAGGCGGTGGGATTCATGAAGTAAGGTTCCAACACCTGCGAGATAACGTTTACAATCTGGTAGGTCGTGCGGGCCAAGCAAACGCTGAGCGAACGTAGACGGACGGACGAGGTTTCGGAGACGATAGCGTAGGCGATAGGGCCAACCGTCATCGAGTAGGTGAGCACCCAGATGATGCAGAGCGCCGCCTGGGCCCAGAGCGACCCTTTGGAGCTGGTTGTCGCGCTCAGGATGCCGATGATAATCTGAAGGAAGAACAGGGTGCCTTGGCCCCAGACGTACAGAGTACGACGGCCCGAGTACGTGATGAGCCACCACGAGAGGAGAGTTCCGGTAAACGCCATCGCCGTGCTACCCACGTTCATCTTGAACGCCTCTGTAGGACTCATACCTGCCTGTTCGAAGAAGTAGGTGGGGGACTTTTTTTCGTTCTCGGGTCAGCACGTCACAGTTTACCAGCTTGGACTTAAGTTGAGACCAAACTTACATAGGCAAATGTGCTGCCAGACAGGATCTGGCCGGCGAAGGTAACGCATGCAATCTCGGTGCGGCGGAGGTCAACGCCCTTGAAGCAGTCCAAGTACGAAGTACCGGATACAATCTCGGCTTCGATCTTGACGGTATGCACCAGCATGGCGAGCTGGCCAGCCAACTGTTCCTCCGTCTTATCGTTGCTCAGCCGCTTAATGCTGTGTTTGGCGTCCTCCAGTCGGTCATTTCGCACCAGATACCATGGGCTCTCAGGCATGTAGAAGCAGCAGATCATGAGCGGTACGGGCCAGATCCACTGCAACGCGAAGGGAATGCGGTAGGACCACTGGTCAGGCCGGTTGATCAGGCCTTCCAGCACGCCAGCCGCAATAAACTGACCGATGGCCCAGCAAAGGTTGACGAAGGTGGTCAGATAGCCACGCAAGTTGGTTGGACAGACCTCAGAAGCGTACGCCGGGCCGACAGTTGCGAAAACGCCCCAGGAAAAGCCGCAGAGGATCTCGCCCACCAGCAAGACGGGGAGGGATTGGGCGAAGAAGATGATGAAAATGAATGCTGTCATGAAGAAGAGGGCGACGATCATTACCCATCGGTAGCCATATTTAGCACAGAGCTGGCCATTCATAACTCCACCTGCGCGCCGACAAATTCACTCATGATTAGTCTACCATTACTGTAATTAACGGAGGAGAGGGGAGAAACACCGAAAATAGCGCCAACCGTACTGGCCATACCCAGGCCAGTCTGCCACGGAGCCGAAATCTGATATCCGGTCGTACCACCATAATCATGGCCGTACTTCTTCTGGAATTCGGGATATCCGAAGAAATTGCCGATTAGGATAGTGTCATAACCCTCCATGACCACAGACATGGAGACCAGCACCGACCAGCCGACAGCGTTTTTGTTGGCCTTGATAGCTTGCCAGAGACTCTGCGCGTGCTCTTCATCCGCGGCATGTTTGGCATCGATAAGGGCACCCTGGCCAAGCGTCTCCTCGACGTGATGGCCTGCTATCTTTTCAAGCGTATATTCCGTGGTGGTCGCCATGTTGACGATGGCTATGGTCTCGAGTGTTCTTGCCGCACAAGAAATGCTATGGTGGGCTCGACCGATCGAATCAATATATATATTTCCGTCTATAGGGGAATATGTGCACTTCTCACCCGACCCCACCCGACCCCGCGTTCTCCGCTTGCTGATCAACTCCAGACTCTCTCATTTTTTTATTGTCCACGAATGAACAAAGAAGCGTTTAGCCTGATAAACGTTGGGATTTATCCAAGCAATAGACGGGACCATCAGAAGTGTTGACAGGGATCACTCGTGTTGGTCCAGCCCACACACGCTCTGTTCACGTTGATAGGAGAAATGCTCGGCTGTTCGGTGGATCTTCAGAACCAAACCTGGTCCAACTGAATCTGCGTCGGAGTTAATGAGGAATTGTGAGGAATGGAGGAACTATCGACAGCATCTTGTTGGTGGAGAATCCGATGGCCGTTCGACGTCGGTCGCACGTTTCCCCGCACTTTTACTTCAAAGAAGTCGGATTCTCGGTCCGCTGCTCCAGGTTCCCCAGTTCGAGACTAGGTGAACTGGCGAAGGATGGAAGAAAAGGTACGGGCAACCGCAGCAAGAATCATAAGTAAATGGAATGGGCCATCCGTGTGCTTCTCTGCTCCTCGGCTTCTCGTAGCAAACGTGATGAGATTGGAAGTGGAGCCGAGGACCCGAGCCGAAGCTACTTCGTAAACCAACGCTGAGCCGATCCAATGGCGGTGTGAGGGGGAAAACTCGTTTGAGCCTCAGGCACACATTTCGCTTAATTATGGCGCTAAGGAGTATTTAGCCTCGCTCCCAAGCTTCTACGAGCTTCACGCTTCTCTTCTAGAATTCATCGCAGTTCTAGAAATCTCTTGTGTTCCTATGTAACGTGAATTTGACCTGGTAATTCATTAACCTGGTACTTGGTTCACTTCTGCCTATCTCTTCTGAGGATCTTCAGCGGTGCTGGTCACGTGAGACAGAGAGTTGAAATGGTCAACATTCCAGTCAGGAAGCAGCTAATATCAGCATAATGCCGTCTAACGATAAACTATTCAATGGTTAATAGAATGAACAGCCAGCTTGCGACATGGAGTGTGACTCGGAAAGAATCATTGCAGAGCGGGAGTGAAAGAGCCTTCTTTTTAAGGGGCCACTTTATATTCACTGAGCTAAGAGAAGGTTTACCAACCCCAACACAAAATTTCATCGCTATGGGGAATCTTGAAAGAGAACAGCGGACGGCCAAAGTTTGACAGCAAAAGGGGTTAGTGATAACGCAAAAAGACGCCTTGAGATCTAGAGAAGGCGGGACTCAGGGGAAGTGAAGGACAAAACAGCTTTGAGTTACAAAGGCTCTGTGCAATGCCCGCTGGCGGCTCCCCCAAACACAGTATACCTTTAAACACCTGTGAACATCTCAGCTTTGAGCTTTGCGGTCCCTTTTGCTCGCAGCGGAACAGGTCAACCTACACTAGAATGTTTTCATGGCATTTTCCAATTCCGTCTCTAGACCTGAGCAGCTGCTGCTTTAGCCTGAGCTATGGGTAAGTAAACTTAAGCCGAGGGTGAGCATTCCTGAGCATCGCATGAGCCCGACCGAGCACGCTAAATAAGCCTGAGCAGCTATTTTAGTATCAACAGGTGCTCGTTTTGGCTCCCTTGAGACCCGGTTACACTTTTCTCCTCCTGTCTCTAAGGGCAGGTCCTATTTTGGCTCCAACAAGGTTCCCTCTAGAACCATTTTTGGATCTATATCCGCTTGTATGTACGTGATACTTGTACAGTCAAGCGACTCAGCCTCGTTATTTATTCCACAACGTTCTTTAACGTCTACGGGGCTATTTCATAGGACTTCGGTACTACTCACTTTACTTTATGCTTTGAATCTCGTAATGCTATACTTGACCTTCGTCCATTTCCCTTATTGTTGTCCTGCTATAGAAGTCACGGGGCCAAGATGCTCTGACGGCGGGGTTTGGTTCACGCAGAATGAAGCAGGGGAGGGACAATTGTATTGCCGGTGGCAAACCTACCGATGGTGACATTACGCAGCAGCAATGCCGTGCCAGGGATGAGTCACACTAGTGTAAGAACATCGCCTTTGCATATTAGAGAGAATATTGATATAAATAATGATTTTAAGTGGAGGACACAGCATCTGAGGGAAAGCACGGAATGGGAGAAATGACCCTCAGAGCTAGATTCTAGAATATTCTGCATAGACCAATCAATCATCGGGTAGAATTTGATGTCTTGCACCAGAGGATGCACTAGATGAACACTACGCTACCTATACTTGCACTCAAGTGGTGACGTCCACCTCGATGCGACCGCTTAGTGCAAGGATGTTTGGGAATGATAGCTTCGTTGCGCATTGCCGCGAACCTGTGAAACTTAGCCAAGCGACGCAGGGGGTGTCAACATACCACCAGGCCTATGTCTACCCGCCGGAAGACCGAACTCCTACTTTAAACAAGCTCGTCGGATCGACTTCTCCTTTATACAAAGACAACTAAAGAAAAATGTCTGTACTTGAAGTGGTGGCTGACCACAGATTAAGGGATATCATCAGAGAGCTAATGGAGCTTAACGAGGCTCCCCTCGGTTTGAACCCTTCGTCCAATCATTGCGAAAATCTTCGACAGCTTGCTAAATTTATGCATGGCTGGGGACGGTTGATATCGAAAGACGGAGGTCGACTTCGCTTGCTATCTCGCGGGGCCAGCAGTCCAGGGCGGTATTGTAGTAGCATTGATACAGCCGCCACAGGGTTAAAGGTACAGTATCCCAACTGAGGATATTGCGGAGGAGTGCAAGACGTTGCTTGCATTGCGGGATCTGGCAGAGTTCTTCACCCTATCCTCCGATAGATTGAGCATCTTTGATGCATTTCCCTCATCACCGGAAAGGCACTCGATTAAGAAGATGTCGACCACTCCGAATTCTATACTACATTCCACAGTATGATATTAAAGAAACGACCAAGCGTCATATTATCGGCTTGGACATGCCCATCTTTCGAGGTTTCACAACGAAATCGTTTCAAAAGCGGACTATCGGTGCCCTGTTCCCTCCTCCCACCACTCCCTATTGCAGGTTGACATTTTCCATGGTGAACATGCCTCAACCTAGCTATTACATGATTTACAACTCTGCCGAGAGCTATTTCCGCCACTTACAAATCCTAGAGGCATATAGGAGTATAATATCATAGACTAAAAGTAATCAATTAGGGGCCTGCCACGAAGGAGAATCTAAATATATAAAAGGGAAATTGAAGAGGGTTCAGGGAACTCAAGTTTAATTACAAAGTAAGATTGCGCTCCGACCCTATCCAACTCTAGTTCGTATCTGTTCCGACTCGTTACGTGCACGTGCAAGTCAAATGAGATGGTAACCCAAGGAGCTGGTTGTCACAGATCTGGTATGTATGGACCAACTATCGGATAATCTTTGGTATGGTAAGTCTAATTCAAAAGCATATCCTACTGTTTCTTTAACTACTAAAGGGTAAAGAGAGGAACCCGCTAATAACCGGCCGAGCTTAAACCCTAAGTAGGGAACTCCATACAACGGCTAATAGAACCACCTCAGCTCATAACATCCCCCGACTAACTTCATATAAAACCAAACCAGATGCCTCCCATCCCACTAGGGGCGGCGATACATGAACCCTCCTGAAGAACTCCAAAATCGGCCCTGCCACAATCCCCTGAGACGCACCCTATTCATCGTTAGAGCTTGTAGTCGGAGCTAGCAGCTTCACTATACCCTTATATGTTGAACCAGCGGCACCGCTTCCTGTTACTAGGTACAGGGCTCTCGTGCGCGAGTCAACCTTGTGACAAGTTTCCTCTGGAGGAGAAGCATGACTGATAATATTTTTATCAGACTGACTATAAGTTCATTAGTATATAAACGGTCGAAAATACATCCAGATCCAGAAGTAATATACCAATCACTTATGCTAGCATATTGATTAAGCTTCGAGTTTGCTGCAAAAACTCCTCCCCCGAGAAGAGCAGAGATGAGAATAGTATAGGAACACTTCATTTTGATCGAAAGTAAAGGAGAACAAAAATTTGTAAAGGTCGTAATCCAAAGTCGAGTAGAATGATGAGGAGTAAGCTGAGGAATAGAGTAACATAAGAGAGGAAAGGGTCAGACTTATATAGTAAAGAAATTAACAAGGTACTTGAGTAAGAGTGACTCAAGGGTTCAAAAATTAGACATCCCAGGACTAGTTGATTAAGATAATATCACCTCAGCTGACGGCCGAGTCGCTGATGCTAAGTCTACCTGTAAGGGCACAGCCCAGAAGGCCTGTTAATGCGACACGAGTGGCTTAGGACACCTATCACATTGTGTCTTGATTCTTGAATCAATTGGCTTCCTCGTATTCCATTATTCTTACCTTTTTTGCGGCTAGCAATGTGAAACTTGTGTGACTGGAAAGATATTGGCAATTTCAACCAGCTTGCGTGTGTGACAGCACATTGCTTGCCTGTATAACACCCAGTCCCGGGTCTTGAAGTTGTTTGGTCCCGTATCCTTCGACGAAAACAAATGCTGGCAATCGTCAATAAGAGGATGTATAGCGGCGGCGTGCTGGGAATGCAGTAGAAGGGCAGGGGTGGTTGGATGTAGGGCGGATGAGGGACATGTAATGCATCCAATCCTCCTCTTCGGCTTCCGGTCCTCTTCACCTTCTCTCCCTTAGGAGGTTTCTTCACCTGAACGCCAACCCAAATATGCTCCATCTTTTCCATGACGAAGGCTGCGATGTAAGAATCAGACTGCCATACCTTCTTTAATACGGACGAGACAATTCGGCAAACAGGCTCTCCTCGCCTTGTTTAGACGTTTAAAAGACATTTCTTGGCAAAGGCTACAATCTGCGCGGCCAATTGACTCCTCAGTGTAACGAATGAAGCCTAACCCAGGCGATAAGCACGACTAATTCACAGCACAGTATGTACAAATGACTAAGTGCGCGGTTTTAGTTATTTCCAAAAGTAAATTCCATGCACTTTAGGCTTTCTTCTCCGGGACAGCTAATGAGAATCAGCAATCTAGCTTACTTACGCCACGATTTGCAGATCCTTTCTGAAATCCCCCGACCGTAATATTTTAGTAAGTAATGTAATATAATCCAATAAGTTCCGATTAAGATCAAAAAGGGGAGGACGTTTCACAGAAGTCGTGATTACGTCAATCAAATTAGGAGACGCTAATTGGCTCGATCGCTCACTACCCTATTATTCGCCGTCGCTTATTTTGGCCCTTGCATACGCCAGGAGGGCATGGGTATATATCTCAGACCCGAACCGGAACGCGAACCCGTCACTCCTCACTTCGTATCAGTAGTAAGAGATAGTCAACCATTCGGGAATGAGCCTAGCTGTTCCTCCCGAGATTTAATGGCCCATTGGGCGGATTACCCTTTGAACCGGCCCCCTATACTGCCGACCCGGGATTTGTATGCAAGAAAATCCTTGCAAGGTGGATGAGAAGATGGAAGACAGGTGAGAGGATGGAAGATGTGGAATTAGGTAAAAGTGACCCGCGGCCTTGCTGGGTCTCCTAGCAAGGTCCTAATAAAGAGGTATTGATATTAGGGAATTCAGATCAGGAAAGCTGAACTCGATAAGGGAGATATGCCTCTCTGTTGCAGAAGGTGAAAAGCTTGGAGAGGAAAGAAGCAAAGGCTAATTTTAGATTAGGCAGGGTAAATATTCGGGATTCCTAGCTAGGAGAAGGGGGGCCTTTTCGGGCCCCATACCAGAGGGCCGGTGGCATTAGGAGATACGGAACCCCGTTAGTGGCACAGTGTACTAACAAAGGGGCACGGGAGCGGTTGGCCAGGGGTCAGTTATGCAGGTCGCACCAAGGCTTAGTGGCACCGAGAGATTCTGTAAAAATGGGTTGGTGGGTTAGCTAGGGTGCCGCGTTGAGAAGCAGTCACGCCACGCAGCTGTAATGCTAGGGGATTCAGGCGAGAGGGGATAGTGGGTCAGCTGCAGGGAATGCTGGTGTTGAGAAGTAGCCACGGCACGGCACAGTAATTAGATAAATCCTAGTAAGGCAGAATTATTTCAATGGCAGTGTTAGCACGTGCACACTACTTAACTACTCTAGAATATTCTAGAGTAGTTGAGTAGAGTATTGAATAGAGTGTGAGTAGTGAGAAATATATTTGAGTAGAATATGAGTAGGGTCCACTACTCTACTCTACTCTTTTCCCACACTGCCTTTGCCACAATTTGGCGAGAGGGATTACTAACTTGCCAAAGCGCAGCTGAATATTTGACGACTTGGACCCTTCCAAGTCTGAAAGACAAGAAGGGAATTTGGAGAGCACTTGACAACAACATAATTGACAGCATGGTGAGAATGATAGCAACAAAGAGACGAAACTTATTACCACAAGATAGTGAATGGAATCATAAACTACATTCGAAGAAAGGACTGGGAAAAGATAACCAAGGATGGAATTAGAGAGGAGGAATATTTTTCGTTTTTTCGTTTTTTCGTTTTTGTTTTGTTTTGGTCAGTGTGTCAAATGAGTAGAGTAGAGTAGAGTAGTGGGTCCTACTCATACTCTACTCAACCAATTATAGCGCTACTCATACTCTACTCATACTCTACTCAAGCTACTCATGAGTAGTATGAGTAGTGTGAGTAGGTACCCACGTGACAGTTGCACGTGACAGGCTAGCCTAATTAGGTAAGCCTCCCATCTAGCGCCAAGTTTCTACCCAATTAGGCAATGACATTGCTTAGTAAGCGAGCCAAAGGTCAGGGGGAAATCAAGATTCTAAGAAGCATAACTAGTTTAGTATTATAGAAAATTAATATTTAGCTAGTCTTATACAAGCCCTAGCTTACCTTTACTGGGGCTATTTAATAAATGTCTTTATTATTTAATAATTATTAAATAAACCTTAGTTTATTATTGTTACATAACGGCTACTCATTACTACTTATACTACTCATGAGTATATACTCTACTCTACTCAAATTTTTAGGACATTATACTACTCATATTCTACTCACGCTACTTATGAATATTCATGAGTAGTATGAGTAGCATGAGTAGTTCTTTGATATACTGGTTTTGGTATTCCATTAGTCTTTTTAGCTGCCTAAGGTACCATGCGGACGTACTATATAGGGATTAGGCTACGGAGGTAGTCACGAGTCCTCGACTCTACTAGTATATCAAATAATTAGATTAGATTAGATTAATGGCCATTAATCTAATTAAGGAAATTTACTATTAATTATATTCTAATTATAATCTAATTAGATTAATTAATTAATTTAATTAATTAAGCACGTGACTAGACACGTGATGGCGCTAGCCGCATCGGGAGCGCGCTTTATCGCATTAGGGCTACGGTAACCTAGCGGCGGCCTGGGCCGCAGCTTACTAAGCTAAGCAAAGTATCTAGAATCTCTTCGATTTTTTAGTACTTCTACTTCCTTATAAATTATATTAATTATAAATAAAATAATTAGAAATTAACCTTTATTAATAATAAGTACTTTGAAATTAAATAGATAATTTCTAATTAGAAGAAATATTAAAAACCCTTTAGAATTAAAAGTTTCTCTATATAAGTAGTATATTAAAAAAAAATTAAGGCTAGTTAATTATAGTTATAATTAGCTATAATTATTATATAATACTAAGAAAACTTGAATTTCTTAAATAATTTAAAAGATTATTAAATAATATTAGTTTACTAATAATATATAGTACTATTATATAGTTGTGAAATACTATTTATATAAGTTAGTAGAGTTGTTTTTGAAATAGGGATTATAGTATTATGGTATTAATATATAATCTCTAAATTTACTAAGCCTAAAGGGATCTAGTTTACTAGTTGAGTTACTAATAGGACGCGAGGTTATATAACCATATCTTGTATTTCATATCCCGTATCTCGTATCCCGTAACTATATATATAGCTTCTAAAGAAATAGCTATACTAATACTAGAAACTCTCTAAAAAACGCGAAAAATAGTATCTCTCTCTAATTATATACAAATTCCCTAATCCGGTCTAATGCCAGATTTCTCAAATACTTTATATATCTATATTACTTCTAAGGTTTTAGTTATATACTAAAGGCTATAGCCTTTTATATATAACTTTCCTTCTTATAATATCCTCCTATCTCATATATCTATTTTCTACTCTATTTATACTCGACCTATTTCTCTATATCTAATTATATAATATTCGTATTAATTAGATATTTAAGAGTATTTATTAGCTTCGATTTTATTATAGAATTAGTAGAATTCGATTTTCCCTTAATTTATTTAACTTCTATAATCTCTTATTATTTATATATCTAGTAAAGATATACTATATTAATTATTAAATACTTTTCTCGAATAGTTCCTAATTTAATAAGGCATTTATATAATAATTTCAAATCTATATAAACTACTAGTAATAGTTCTATCTCTAGTACTTTATTAATTATAGATTTAACTAAAGTACTTATATTAAAGCCATAAGCCATATTATAAAGTTCTATAGCTAAAATACTTCTAGTAACTCTCTTATATTTAGTAGAAAACTAGTAAATAATATTAGTATATCTAGTTTTATTTACTAGAACTAAAATATATCTGATTTAGGAAAAGAGATCTCTATTATTTATAAATAAAGTATTTATAAAAATAATTAAATATAAGAACTTCTTTACTAGCTTTATAAATTTTAGTTCTCTAGTAGTATTCTTAATTTACTATTAAATATATTTATTAAATGCCTTTATATTAGTCTCTAAAAGTTTAATAGCTTAAGTAATAATTAATAAATTATATAAAGCTTCTGGTTAATAGACTAATATAATATATACTTCTCTAGTATATTAGGTAATATATTAGTCTTTAATAGAGAAATCTTAATAAATAGTATTCTTATTACTTATAATAATAGTATTTTTTATAGAAATAGTTTAGAGGTTTTTATATTAGTATTTCTATATAAAAGTAATTCTAGTAGTATTTATATAAATAATACCTTTATTAAACTTGAGATTATAATTAATAATAAGGTATTTATATTTTTTAGCTAAGAACTTAGCCTTTTAGAGCTTTAGTTACTTTGTTTTTACAAAATTATTAGTTCTAATAAATAGGGTATTATTAGTTTAAAGGCTAATAATTCCGAAAGATTACTTATTATAGAGGAAATAAAAATTATAAGTTAACTATTTTATAGAAAAGTTATTAATATAGTAGAAATAGTAAGTTTTAAACTAGTAGTTTCTAGCTTCTAGTATATTATATAGTAATTTTATAATCTTTAGAACTAAATTATTATTTAGATTTAGCTTTCTAGTAAGCTTATAAAATAAGTTAATATAAAAATTATAGTTAAGTAAGATTATTAATTAGATATAAGCTTATAAGATATTATATAAATATAGTTCTATAATATTTATTATTATAGTAATAATACTAAAAATAATTCTCTAGCTAATATATAAAATAATAAGTAATTATATTAATACTATATATTTCTTACTATTATTATAAGCTTAAATAACTAGTCTCGACTTCTTAAATTCTCTTTCTATATTTTTATTCTTAATCTTATTAATAAACCGGGAATTAAAGATATATATCTTTTTTAGTATTTAAGATCTAAAAGTAACCTCAAATATATCTTTTTCTAAAAAAAACTAGTAATTTTAACTTAGTAGGAATTCTTATATAAGTTATTATTTTATAGAAATACTATAAA